CCAAAAACGCGACGCGAACCACGCGCTATGCTTTCGCCCCAGATTCCCCCCATGGCGGAAAAACCGTGCCCGAGTGGTCAGGGAATGAATATTGCATTCCCGTGAGTCTTTTCAGCCAACGGGAGTGAAAATTGGATTCCCACGTCCACACATTTCGTGTAAACAATTACCCCACACTCAAAATTAACTCGTCGCAACGACATCAAAACCATAATGATGAACACACACATTTAGTTAAGAAAAACAACTAAACAATCAACCTTAGTTAAGCTCGTTTAGATATGTTAATAAATTTCCATGTTTCCTGCACAAACAGTGGTCTGTGTTTTCTTTTTATGGCCTGCGACAACCCTTTGAATGGGCCGAAAACTCCTTCCTTGCGGGGTGCTGCTTCCAACCCCCTCCGCCATCTCGAACTGTTCACCCCACGCACCCCCCCGGATACTCCTCTTGCGCCAGGACTTCAAACGTGGGGTCAACTCTGGTGGACCCCGAGTTGACCCACCCAACTAGGAGCGAGGCTATCCCTTTTGGATCCCTCGCCCCATCCCCCCCTGTCTTCTGTGGGCTGCCGAGCATCGCCATGGAAGTGTGTTGCTCTACATGAGCATGAGCGGGGTGAGGGCGAGAGTGATGAGAGCAGTGAGCACAGTGGGCGGTGAAGCGAGCGAACCTGCCATTGCGAGGGAGAACAGCAGGGAGAGCAGCATCAGGTCAGAACAACCTACTTGAAAAAACAGGAAACGAGTGCAGGAAGTAAAAGGAGGGATCGGATTAGAGATATTTGGAAATGTGCAGCGGAATTACAACAGGGCAAGGTACCAAGCAGGAAGGCAAGATTGAGGCAAAGCAGGAGCATGGGAGAAGAGGCATGGGAGAAGAAGCATGGGAGAAACAACTCACCGGCAGTCTTGGGAGGGGGAGGAGCAGCGGCAAGAGTTGAGGCACCAGCAGGGGGAGAAGTGGCACCAGCAGTAGGAGCAGCGGCATCAGCAGTAGGAAAAGCAGCATCAGTAGAGGGGGCAGCGGCATCAGTAGGCGGAGAAGCGGCAGCAGCAGAGGGAGCACCGGCAGCAGGAGGAGGAGAAGCGGCACCAGCAGCAGTGGGAATGGTAGGAGAAGCCAGAGTAACCCTGCCATCAGCTGTAAGAGCGACCGGCGCGCCCGCATAGGGCACCACACCAGATTTGGTGTCAACTATAGTGCCGTTGGTCCACCCCTTCAGGTCCCCTGCACTGTACGACCCGTCCTCATTCGGCCCCATCGGCACAATCTTCGCTCCCGTACCGTTCAGAACCGTTCCGTTTACCAGAACTGTCGTTCTTCCCACACGCAGACCCGCGTTGGGACCTGCAGTGTTGATGGCAATGCGGCCACCCGGAGCGGTGATCGTGCCATTCTTGAAAAGCGTGTAGCCGCCAAGAGAGAGGGACCCGTCGGGGTTGGTGGCGGTGGTGACAGGTTGGCCGGTGGAGACTAGCAGGGAAAATTTACTGCCATGCCCTGTGCCAGTCGGCCCTGTGCCAACACTCGGCCCTGTGCCAGTCGGCCCTGTGCCACCAGTCGGCCCCACTGTGAAACCACCCAGCGACAGGTTGCGGCCGGAGTCTATGATGAGCGAGAGTTCATCATTACCGCTCAACCACAGTGTATAGCGGCCAAACGACAGGCTGCGGGTGATGGGGTTCAGGGAGATGGCGGCGCCAGGCATGGGAACAGCAGCCTGCGGCGCGAAAGCAACGCTGCCGTCCGCTGTGACGGTGAGCGGCGCGCCGGGGTAGATCACGGCGCCGCAGCTGCCAATGATGAAGCCGTTAGGCCACCCAGTCAGGTCCCCTGCTGTGTACGACCCGTCTCCGTTTCTCGTCGGCACGAGCTTTCTTCCCGAACCGTCCACAATGGTTCCGTTTCTCAGGACTGTTGTTTCTCCCACGGCGAACAATGCCGCGTCAGAGCTGGAACCTTGAAGGTAGATGGAAAGGCCGCCCGGACCAGTGACGGTGCCGTTGGGGTACGCGGTGTACCCGGCAACAGTGGCGGATCCGTCCGCGTTATAAGTGGGCGCGACAGGCGAGCCTTTCCAGTCGACAACGGCCAGCGAAGGTGGGTGGGTTGCGGGGTTCACAGACACAGAGTACCCCGGACCGAACCTCAGGCTCTGAGTGGCCGGCACGAAGATGACTGGGGCGAACGTACCCGGACTGCCAGTGGGGCTCTGCGCGACGGCGACAGTCGCCGAGACGACCAGAGCGAGCAGCAGCAGCCGCGGCGGGTCGCGCAGCAGCAGCAGCAGCAGCAACCGCAGGACGCGCGGAGGAGCCTGGCGCGCCATGGCTGGCAGGGGAGGTTGTGGTCCGAGTTGGAAGGGAGGCCTCCTGACTCGCTGCAAAGAGAAAAGGGTAAACAGGGCTCGCTGACTCGGCCGCTCGCTCGCTCAATGCACGCGCCGCGGCGGTGCGCGCTCCGGAAGTTCCTCTGCTCTAGACTCGGTCGGTGCGCGCGGGACTGGTGGTGCCACCACTGGAGCGGCATTGCGGGATGAGTGATCAACCTGCTCCGAAGGCGAGGCGGCGGAGACCGGTCTCCCGGAGACCAAAAAGGAAGGGCCTCGCTCGGGCCTTCGCTTGGGCCTCGCTCGGGCCTTCGCTTGGGCCTCGCTCGGGCCGAGCGAAGGACGGAATCATCCCGGAGCGGCTCTATGATAGACCAGATTGTGCTGGTCCTATCCCGATCATCGCATGTGGCACATGCGCAGCCATCGCAAAAGCGCGGAACTTGATCCGGAAACTAAAGCTATCGCCACGCTCGGCTGCGCTGTCCGCTTTCATCGCATAGAAGATGGTTGTTGTACCTCAAAGGCGGGCTACAGCAAAGGCCAAATGACTAGACTGCGCGTCCGACGCGTGTGTAAATCCCAGTCAGCATTGCTCGAACCAGACTGACTCAGCCAGTGTTGATATTGCGGTTGGTGGGGGATTTCTATCATCCCCCCAATTTCATCCACAGTGAAACGACAATTTCACGCCTCACTGCCCAGGCATTGAAATTAGCGAGGGAAACTTTTCGTTACACTCGAAAGTCTGGTGCTGGGAGGGTGCGATTGACCTATCTGGTGTGCGGGTTGTAACGTTTTCCTTTCGTTTTACCCTGCCCAATCGGATTTCTGGGGTAAGAACAAGCGGCCAGAACGTATCATTGCTCGAAGATTCTACTGAACAGTGACATTCTGTTTTGTCTTCAGCGGTTCTGCAATGATAACTTCCGGTTGTAAAACCGCTGTTCTGGAAACCTGGCTTCCGAAAAAAAACTGGAAACCCCTGTCACATCTCGTGCTTTTATATTGAAATTGAACAAAACAAACGCTCGAGGGACAGGTCGATGTAGTATAATGGTCAGTATCTCCGCCTGTCACGCGGAAGATCCGGCATCGGCGTTTTCATTCAGGGACCTTTTTCACAGCTTGATGACAGGACCATACCAGGAGCAATCTTGACACCGCCCTCCTAGTACAACTTTTGGCAATTGTCATGGCTTTTCAAAGGTGCAAATTCTTGCTAGAGCTGCGAATCCAATAAGAATCTCTGCTGAATGCATACACAGCAAGGTGGACTCAGGGCGTGTCTGAAGTGCAAACGTCGAGTTTCGTCAAATTTCGTCGACGAAACTCATCCGTGGGACCCACGCGTGTTGGTGTCTGAAGTGCAAACTGACATCCCTCGACGAAACTCGACGTTCGTGCACATGTCGAGGGATGTCGAACAGTGATACCGGGCAGCTGTTTGAGTCACTGTAGTCAGTGAGTGTTTCAAAAACAATTCTTCGACACGCCATGTCTGCATAGCTGTGGCAAACACACGTGAATAAGAACTAAGACGAGAGCGACACGTGCTAGAGAAATTTCGCTGGCAATGTGACAGTAGAATATCCGGTGTTACCAGCAACAATCTATGCTAAGCGAAATTCGCGAGATTGCAAACAATTGAGTTACATGAATGATTCTGTTAATTCCACGTCGAATTTTCATGGGCAACTTATAACAGTGTTCCTATGGCACGTGTGGGTTATTTTGTCGTGTGGGTGTCTGAAGTGAACACAGCTGAAAACGGATGTCGAGTTTCGTCAAGGAACGTCGACGAAAGTTTCGTCGGCAAACGTCGAAATTCACTTCAGACACGCCCTCACTTGTCCAACGCACGCAATAGATTGACGTGACAGAGAAGAGTTTTCCAAACATCCTCCTTACATACCGTACCCTTATTTTCCAATAACGTTACTTATTAATCTAGTGCTTTTTGGTACCACAACAATTCTCACACAACAAAAGGACCTAACCTCATAACGTGCAGGACTTGACCGAACACCGGGCGTGCCCCAAACAAATGAAATGATGACCGAGGCATATAGCCATCTGTGGCTGGCACTGGAGTAGAACCCCTGCAGAGCCAAGTCCGGCCCTTGAAGAATGACATACAGGTACTGTCCAAAGTTATGGAACTTACATTCTTCCGGAAACAGTGTCCAAGCCTCTTGCATCCAAGTGTAGACCGGTGGAACTCAGCTCACGAATGGCCTGCAGAGAGAGGAACAAAACACTCGAATGAGTGCAAGAAGCACTTACGAAACTCCGTGCAAGAAACACAACAGTAAGAGATGGCTCTACAAGGGGACTGCCTGAGAGCTCCCTGGTGGAACTCAGCTCACGAATGGCCTGCAGAGAGAGGAAGCAAACACTTGACCGAGTGCAAGAAACACAAGAATACCATAAGAGATGGCTCTGTGTGTGGGAATCTGAAACAGCAGATTGCACTCGGTGAGAGATGCAGTGTGAAGCGAGCTGACTTTAGAGTCGACTCGAATGACATTCTCACATGGTTGATGGGGATGGCGAACGCCACTCCTTCAGCATCCGACCAGACTTCTGAGTCGACTCAAAAGTCACACAGTCTGAGATGCAGTGTGACGCGAGCTGACTTCAGAGTCGACTCGAATGACATTCTCACATGGTTGATGGGGATGGCGAACGCCACTCCTTCAGCATCCGACCGGATGGCTGTTGTGATGCCAATGACCTGCAGCCACCAATCAGATCGTGCCATGTCAGCAGCAAGCTAGGCAAAGCATGACCTCATATGAGGTTCTGTTCACAAGGGGACTGCCAGATCTGCCCAGGTTGATGGGGGGCCAGTCAGCACAAGGCATACAGGGAAGCAGCTCTACAGAGCATTACACAGTGGGCACACAGCACTTAGGGGAAGCTTGAGAGTGCAGCTCGCACCTCCACAAAACATGTTATCAGAAGGACTGCCAGAGGTTTTCGAGGCGCCTCAAAAATCGCTTGAGAGTGCAGCTCGCACCTCCACAAAACATGTTGTCAGAAGGACTGCCAGAGGTTTTTGAGGCGCCTCAAAAATCGCTTGAGAGTGCAGCTCGCACCTCCACAAAACATGTTGTCAGAAGGACTGCCAGAGGTTTTTGAGGCGCCTAAAAAATCGCTTGAGAGTGCAGCTCACACCTCCACGATACATGTTTACGGAAGGACTGCCAGAGGTTTTTGAGGCGCCTCAAAAATCGCTTGAGAGTGCAGCTCGCACCTCCACAAAACATGTTGTCAGAAGGACTGCCAGAGGTTTTTGAGGCGCCTCAAAAATCGCTTGAGAGTGCAGCTCGCACCTCCACGATACATGTTTACGGAAGGACTGCCAGAGGTTTTTGAGGCGCCTCAAAAATCGCTTGAGAGTGCAGCTCGCACCTCCACAAAACATGTTGTCAGAAGGACTGCCAGAGGTTTTTGAGGCGCCTCAAAAATCGCTTGAGAGTGCAGCTCACACCTCCACGATACATGTTTACGGAAGGACTGTCTGAGCTCTCCGAGTTGATGGGAGGCCAAGCAAGCAGCATGTGACATACAGGGAAAGCAGGCTTACACAGCACCACACGAATCGGCAGAGGATTGAGAGAGGAGCACCAACCCACCTCCCCAAACTCGTTCACGAGAGGACTGCCTGAGCTCTCCAGATTGATAGGATGTGGCAAGCGAGCAGCATGTGGCAAGTGAGCAGCATGTGGCAAGCGAGCAGCATGTGGCAAGCGAGCAGCATGTGGCATACAGGGGAAGCAGCTTTACACAGCTGCACGCACCTCCCCAAACTCGTTCACAAGGGGACTGCCGGAGCTGCCTAGGTTGATGGGAGGCAAGCAAGCAGCATATGGCATCTAAAGAAAGCAGGTTGCGAGAGCTGCACGCACCTCTCCGAACTCGTTCACGAGGGGACTGCCTGAACTCCCCGGGTTGATGGCACAGTCTGTTTGGAAGAAGTGGAGTGAAGAGTGCGGCACTCCCACCTGGTGGGAGGGGTGGGGGAAGGGGAGTGGGAGAGCGAGTGGGAGGGTGAACGGAGCAATGAAAGCTCCCCAGGTTGATGGCACAGTCGGTTTGGAGAAGTGGAGTGTGGAGTGCGGCACTCCCACCTGGAGGGAGAGGAGAGGTAAGGGGAGAGGGGGAGAGGGGGAGAGGAAACACGAGGGGGTGGGAGAGAATGGGGGGAAGGAGTGAGTGGAATGAGGAAAATTCCCCACCATCACACTCACCTGCACTTCATGTGTCACATCCCATTCCCCACCCTCTCACCCTCACACTCACCTGAGCGGCTGCGCCGTGCATGCGTCACATTTCATTGCCCAGGCTGATGCTGCCCACCGTAAACCCATGTAGATCTGCTCTCTGCCACTCCCTCACTCCCCCATCAACCCCCACCTTCCCCCCATCAACCCCCTTCCTCACCTGAGCAGCAGTGCGGTGCAGGCTGCTGATCACGCCCAGGCTGATGCTGCCAGGAAGCCCCACAGGATTGCCCACCGAGATCACCCAATCAGCAAGCTCCACGTCATCACTATCACCAATGGGCGCACAGGGGAGCCACTCCTTTTCTTCTCTGCTGCCCTCTCCTCCCTCTCTTCCACCCCTCTCACCTGCTCTTTCCCCTCCATCCCTCTGAACTCCTCCCTCCCCTCCTGTCTCTTGCACCTCTGCTCTCACTTCCCCAAATATGCCTGCTACGGCAGGACTCCCATCCGCTTCTCTTGAACCCACTCCCCTGCAACAGTCCACAGGAATCGTTCCTCCAGTTGACCCAACCCTGTCTGCTGCAGTCTTGTCGTCCCCAATCGTTACCGCTACAGCTCCCCGCTCCTCTCCTGCCACAGTCGATGCTCCATTCGCTGCTGATACAGCCGGCTCGTCAATCCCTTGCAGGCCGGAAACCAAGACTGCTGATACAGTAGGCCCTCTGGTAAACAGCCTATGAGTCACCTACTGGGCAGCAGTGGGAGGAAAAGTAAACCAAGAAAAGGAATGCGTGAGTTGAAAGAAACATGTTGCTGCATGCACAGAAAACTCCACCCCTCCCCCCCTTCTGGTCAACAGGCAGTGAGTCACAAACTGTGCAGCAGTGGTAGGAAAGGACAACTAAGAGAAGGAACGCATGAGTTGAGCCTCAAGGAACGCATGAGTTGAGCCTCAAGGAACGCATGAGTTGAGCCTCAAGGAACGCATGAGTTGAGCCTCAAGGAACGCATGAGTTGAGCCTCAAGGAACGCATGAGTTGAGCCTCAAGGAACGCATGAGTTGAGCCTCAAGGAACGCATGAGTTGAGCCTCAAGGAACGCATGAGTTGAGCCTCAAGGAACGCATGAGTTGAGCCTCAAGGAACGCATGAGTTGAGCCTCAAGGAACGCATGAGTTGAGCCTCAAGGAACGCATGAGTTGAGCCTCAAGGAACGCATGAGTTGAGCCTCAAGGAACGCATGAGTTGAGCCTCAAGGAACGCATGAGTTGAGCCTCAAGGAACGCATGAGTTGAGCCTCAAGGAACGCATGAGTTGAGCCTCAAGGAACGCATGAGTTGAGCCTCAAGGAACGCATGAGTTGAGCCTCAAGGAACGCATGAGTTGAGCCTCAAGGAACGCATGAGTTGAGCCTCAAGGAACGCATGAGTTGAGCCTCAAGGAACGCATGAGTTGAGCCTCAAGGAACGCATGAGTTGAGCCTCAAGGAACGCATGAGTTGAGCCTCAAGGAACGCATGAGTTGAGCCTCAAGGAACGCATGAGTTGAGCCTCAAGGAACGCATGAGTTGAGCCTCAAGGAACGCATGAGTTGAGCCTCAAGGAACGCATGAGTTGAGCCTCAAGGAACGCATGAGTTGAGCCTCAAGGAACGCGTGAGTTGAGCCTCAAGGAACGCATGAGTTGAGCCTCAAGGAACGCATGAGTTGAGCCTCAAGGAACGCATGAGTTGAGCCTCAAGGAACGCATGAGTTGAGCCTCAAGGAACGCATGAGTTGAGCCTCAAGGAACGCATGAGTTGAGCCTCAAGGAACGCATGAGTTGAGCCTCAAGGAACGCATGAGTTGAGCCTCAAGGAACGCATGAGTTGAGCCTCAAGGAACGCATGAGTTGAGCCTCAAGGAACGCGTGAGTTGAGCCTCAAGGAACGCGTGAGTTGAGCCTCAAGGAACGCGTGAGTTGAGCCTCAAGGAACGCATGAGTTGAGCCTCAAGGAACGCATGAGTTGAGCCTCAAGGAACGCATGAGTTGAGCCTCAAGGAACGCATGAGTTGAGCCTCAAGGAACGCATGATTTGAGCCTCAAGGAACGCATGAGTTGAGCCTCAAGGAACGCATGAGTTGAGCCTCAAGGAACGGATGAGTTGAGCCTCAAGGAACGGATGAGTTGAGCCTCAAGGAACGCATGAGCTGAGCCTCAAGGAACGCATGAGTTGAGCCTCAAGGAACGCGTGAGAAGGAACGCGTGAGTTGAAAGAACGTGTTTGCTGCCTGCAGAGAAACCTTCCCGTTTTGGGTCAACAGGCTGTGAGTCACCCACTGGCCAACAGTAGATGGACACGATACAATACAACATGCAACAACTTTTAAGGGGGAAGTATGAGAGCCTCTTAAAGGGGGAACCTCTCTGATTAGTCATGCTAGAGAAGAGAGTAGGTGGTCATGAAATTTCCCCCTTTTAAGTGAAGCACTGATGAACTGGTTGAAGCGGGAGCATCAACTCAAGCGGGCCTCTTGAGCAGTTATCATGATGTGGTGGAGAAATAAGGTGACTTCTGAGTCGACTCAAAGTCAACTAGGTATCAATGTAGTGGAGTAATAAGAACCCTGAACCTGAACCTCTCGGCACAAAAGAATGGCATTAACCTCTCCATGTGGCATATTCAGACAACAACCACAGGCAGACCCCCATGCGCTGATGTTGTTGCTGGCAGCAGATCCGTCAGTCAGAGCTAAGTAACCGCATACTAGGGTACAACAGACGAATGCAGTGAGAGAGTACCTTGAGCACTGCGAGGTCTGCAGAGGGATGCAGTGCGGTTGACTCTGTGGCAAAGCGACGACCGTCGGGGAGAAGCAGCTGACAGGATGGGGGGGAGAAATGGGAGGGATGGAGGGGATGGGAGGTACGGGAAGGGACGATGGGATGGGAGGAAGATGAAAGGGATGGGAGGAAGATGAAAGGGATGGGAGGAAGATGAAAGGGATGGGAGGAAGATGAAAGGGATGGGAGGAAACGACGAGAAGGGAGGGAAGGCAGGTGAACTAGCTGCGACTGACACCCTCCTATGTGTGCAGACATACCTCGCACCCAACACTAGTGAGCAACAACACACATGCATCACCTGCCTTCCCTCCCTTCTCGTCGTTTCCTTACCATCCCTTTCATCTACCCTTAAGCAGTACATATGCAACTATGTGTGCAGACATACCTCGCACCCAACACTAAGTGAGCAACAACACACATGCATCTCTGTGCAAGAAGCATGCACAAAGCCATCACCCCAAGCCATGCCATGCACTGGGGTGTGTGGACCAGCATGTGCCTCAGCTCAGTCTTCTGTGACATGTATGTACATGTCACACATGTCACACATGTCACACATGTCACACATGTCACACATGTCACACATGTCACACATGTCACACATCTCACACATGTCACACATGTCACACATGTCACACATGTCACACATGTCACGCATGTCACACATGTCACACATGTCACACATGTCACACATCTCACACATGTCACACATGTCACACATGTCACACATGTCACACATGTCACGCATGTCACACATGTCACGCATGTCACACATGTCACACATGTCACGCATGTCACACATGTCACACATGTCACGCATGTCACACATGTCACAGAAGACTGAGCTGAGACATGAATGTCCATTTGAACCCAGTAGGGTGATCGATTCCTCTCCTCGCCGTACCATCAAGCTGCTGCACCATCAACCACATGTGGGGTTACCACTATGGTGCGTTGCAGAGCACCAGCCGCTGAGCACACCCAGCAAGTCCCCATGGCCGATGAGTTGCAAATGTCCCTCCCTTCGACCCATGTGTGGCAGAAATCCGAGGTGAATTTCGAGTCATGTCGAGTCACATGTGTGTGACTCAAAAGTCACATCCAGACAGACAGACATTCTCTCGTCCTCACCCCTACCGTCACTCTCGCTGCCCCATCCAGCACATGGGCATAGTTGCGGACTGGCGAGCGCCGATGTCTATAGTGCCTGTGATTCACATGCCGTGATATGCGCCGCACTCCCCCTACCATCACTTCTGCTGCACCCTCCACAACATGATTCCGCTTCCGCCCATGAGTGACATGATACAATCTGTGCAGCATGAGCACACCCCTTACCGTCACTCTCACTGCTCCGTCCGTCTACTCCATGAGCACCGTTGACATCTGGCAAAACGTTCACTGCTTACGGGTGACATGATCAGTGGGACATAATCACTCCCCTTACCGTCACTCTCGCTGCACCATCAACCACGTGCGCGTTGATGAGAACCAGCCGTCGAGCACCAGCAAGCACGTCCCTATGGGCAATGTGTGACCACCGTTTAAAGCGGGACGGAGATCTGTTCCCATCCAGACGCATTCACGCTTCCTCATCCCTCTTACCGTCACTCTCGCTGCACCATCAACCACATGAGCATTGGTGAGCACCAGCCGTCGAGCACCAGCACATGCCCCTGGCTGCTGAGACATACGCCACATGTGGCATGTAATAGAGTGATTCCTGCCTTCCTCTTACCGTCACTCTCGCTGCACCGTCCACCACGTGAGCATTGGTGAGCACCAGCCACTGAGCGCCAGCACGTTCCTATGAGCGATGTGTGACAGGCATGAGCACTCCCCTTACCGTCACTCTCGCTGCCCCGTCCACCACATGAGCATTGGTGAGCACCAGCCGCTGAGCACTGCTGACAATGAACCCGCTGCCGCTGGTGGGTGGCCGGTAAGGGCGGGGGGGGAGGAAGGGAAAGGGAAGGGCGGCATCAAGGCGTTCTTATAAGAGGTTATTACTATGTGGTATACACACCAGCCGTTGAACTCTGCTGACGATGAATTCACTGCCGCTGGTGGGTGGAAAAGGGGGACGGGGGGGAAGAAGGGAGGTAAGGACGGCTTTAGGAGCGGCTTGTATAGAAAGCATTCTTAAGTCGCTGAAACAGATTATTAAGCCGCTGAGTGCTGTTACCGACGAACCCGCTGCCGCGGGTGGGTGGAGAGGAAGGGACGAAGGGATGGAATGGGGGCGAGTGTATTTTGAGGCATCCACAGAAGTAAATTCACACTGGTTTTTTCACCAAGTGGTTCCTGCACCAGTTGCTGAGTGCTGCTGATGATAAAACTGCTGCCGCTGATGGGTGGGAAGGGAGAAAAGGGAGGACAGGGTGGGAGGGAGGGAAAGAGGGAAGTTGGACGGGGAGGGAGGGATGGAAGGAGGGAGGGAGGGATGTTGTGGGGCCATGAGGATGGTGCCAGGCGAGAGTGCATGGAACGCCAGACACAGCAGTGGCGAATGGCAGATAGAGCAACGTGGATGGCAACACAGCAGCAAGGCTCTCACACTAGTTTCTGTGAACGCCTCCGGTGCCTTGGTCTTCGCCTTTTCCCAGGCCTCCATCCTCGCCCTCTCCTTGAGTCTGCGCAGCCATGCCCCCACTCGACGCTTGTGCGTTTAATGGGCAATTGTGGCACTCACGAAAGACAAGAGTGGATTGAAAGAAGCAACAAAGCTCACACACTAGTTTCTGTGTATGTCTCGGGTGCCTTGGCCTTGGCCTTGGCCTTGGCCTCCAACCTCCCCCTCTCCTTGAGTCGGCGCAACCACGCCCCCACTCGAGGCTCGTGCGGCCATGAAGAGGATGCCAGGCGAGTGCTGCAGCCATCCGCTCTGTCAGTGCTTGCATTCGGATCGGATTTCGCCAGAAACATCACGTCGTCTGCGGGAGCATCAATAGAATGGGTTGGTTGCATTGCACGGTGGAACGGGATGGTGGAAGAAACGAGCGATGTGAAAAAGGTGTGAGATGGGGGAAGCAAGGAGAACAGAAAAACGAGGGAGAGCGAACGGAAGGGCATGGGTCACAGTGTGCGGAAACACGTGAAAAAAGGAGTGTTTTGAGACGTCTCAAAACACGTGAAAAAAGGAGTGTTTTGAGACGTCTCAAAACACGTGAAAAAAGGAGTGTTTTGAGACGTCTCAAAACACGTGAAAAAAGGAGTGTTTTGAGACGTCTCAAAACACGTGAAAAAAGGAGTGTTTTGAGACGTCTCAAAACACGTGAAAAAAGGAGTGTTTTGAGACGTCTCAAAACACGTGAAAAAAGGAGTGTTTTGAGACGTCTCAAAACACGTGAAAAAAGGAGTGTTTTGAGACGTCTCGAAACACGTGAAAAAAGGAGTGTTTTGAGACGTCTCAAAACACGTGAAAAAAGGAGTGGTTTGAGACGTCTCAAAACACGTGAAAAAAGGAGTGTTTTGAGACGTCTCAAAACACGTGAAAAAAGGAGTGTTTTGAGACGTCTCAAAACACGTGAAAAAAGGAGTGTTTTGAGACGTCTCAAAACACGTGAAAAAAGGAGTGTTTTGAGACGTCTCAAAACACGTGAAAAAAGGAGTGTTTTGAGACGTCTCAAAACACGTGAAAAAAGGAGTGTTTTGAGACGTCTCAAAACACGTGAAAAAAGGAGTGTTTTGAGACGTCTCAAAACACGTGAAAAAAGGAGTGTTTTGAGACGTCTCAAAACACGTGAAAAAAGGAGTGTTTTGAGACGTCTCAAAACACGTGAAAAAAGGAGTGTTTTGAGACGTCTCGAAACACGTGAAAAAAGGAGTGTTTTGAGACGTCTCGAAACACGTGAAAAAAGGAGTGGTTTGAGACGTCTCAAAACACGTGAAAAAAGGAGTGGTTTGAGACGTCTCAAAACACGTGAAAAAAGGAGTGTTTTGAGACGTCTCAAAACACGTGAAAAAAGGAGTGTTTTGAGACGTCTCAAAACACGTGAAAAAAGGAGTGTTTTGAGACGTCTCAAAACACGTGAAAAAAGGAGTGTTTTGAGACGTCTCAAAACACGTGAAAAAAGGAGTGTTTTGAGACGTCTCAAAACACGTGAAAAAAGGAGTGTTTTGAGACGTCTCAAAACACGTGAAAAAAGGAGTGTTTTGAGACGTCTCAAAACACGTGAAAAAAGGAGTGTTTTGAGACGTCTCAAAACACGTGAAAAAAGGAGTGTTTTGAGACGTCTCAAAACACGTGAAAAAAGGAGTGTTTTGAGACGTCTCAAAACACGTGAAAAAAGGAGTGTTTTGAGACGTCTCAAAACACGTGAAAAAAGGAGTGTTTTGAGACGTCTCAAAACACGTGAAAAAAGGAGTGTTTTGAGACGTCTCAAAACACGTGAAAAAGGGAGTGTTTTGAGACGTCTCAAAACACGTGAAAAAGGGAGTGTTTTGAGACGTCTCAAAACACGTGAAAAAGGGAGTGTTTTGAGACGTCTCAAAACACGTGAAAAAGGGAGTGTTTTGAGACGTCTCAAAACACGTGAAAAAAGGAGTGTTTTGAGACGTCTCAAAACACGTGAAAAAAGGAGTGTTTTGAGACGTCTCAAAACACGTGAAAAAAGGAGTGTTTTGAGACGTCTCAAAACACGTGAAAAAAGGAGTGTTTTGAGACGTCTCAAAACACGTGAAAAAAGGAGTGTTTTGAGACGTCTCAAAACACGTGAAAAAAGGAGTGTTTTGAGACGTCTCAAAACACGTGAAAAAAGGAGTGTTTTGAGACGTCTCAAAACACGTGAAAAAAGGAGTGTTTTGAGACGTCTCAAAACACGTGAAAAAAGGAGTGTTTTGAGACGTCTCAAAACACGTGAAAAAAGGAGTGTTTTGAGACGTCTTAAAACACGTGAAAAAAGGAGTGTTTTGAGACGTCTCAAAACACGTGAAAAAAGGAGTGTTTTGAGACGTCTCAAAACACGTGAAAAAAGGAGTGTTTTGAGACGTCTCAAAACACGTGAAAAAGGGAGTGTTTTGAGACGTCTCAAAACACGTGAAAAAAGGAGTGTTTTGAGACGTCTCAAAACACGTGAAAAAAGGAGTGTTTTGAGACGTCTCAAAACACGTGAAAAAAGGAGTGTTTTGAGACGTCTCAAAACACGTGAAAAAAGGAGTGTTTTGAGACGTCTCAAAACACGTGAAAAAAGGAGTGTTTTGAGACGTCTCAAAACACGTGAAAAAAGGAGTGTTTTGAGACGTCTCAAAACACGTGAAAAAAGGAGTGTTTTGAGACGTCTCAAAACACGTGAAAAAAGGAGTGTTTTGAGACGTCTCAAAACACGTGAAAAAAGGAGTGTTTTGAGACGTCTCAAAACACGTGAAAAAAGGAGTGTTTTGAGACGTCTCAAAACACGTGAAAAAAGGAGTGTTTTGAGACGTCTCAAAACACGTGAAAAAAGGAGTGTTTTGAGACGTCTCAAAACACGTGAAAAAAGGAGTGTTTTGAGACGTCTCAAAACACGTGAAAAAAGGAGTGTTTTGAGACGTCTCAAAACACGTGAAAAAAGGAGTGTCTTGAGACGTCTCAAAACACGTGAAAAAAGGAGTGTTTTGAGACGTCTCAAAACACGTGAAAAAAGGAGTGTTTTGAGACGTCTCAAAACACGTGAAAAAATGAGTGTTTTGAGACGTCTCAAAACACGTGAAAAAAGGAGTGTTTTGAGACGTCTCAAAACACGTGAAAAAAGGAGTGTTTTGAGACGTCTCAAAACACGTGAAAAAAGGAGTGTTTTGAGACGTCTCAAAACACGTGAAAAAAGGAGTGTTTTGAGACGTCTCAAAACACGTGAAAAAAGGAGTGTTTTGAGACGTCTCAAAACACGTGAAAAAAGGAGTGTTTTGAGACGTCTCAAAACACGTGAAAAAAGGAGTGTTTTGAGACGTCTCAAAACACGTGAAAAAGGGAGTGTTTTGAGACGTCTCAAAACACGTGAAAAAAGGAGTGTTTTGAGACGTCTCAAAACACGTGAAAAAAGGAGTGTTTTGAGACGTCTCAAAACACGTGAAAAAAGGAGTGTTTTGAGACGTCTCAAAACACGTGAAAAAAGGAGTGTTTTGAGACGTCTCAAAACACGTGAAAAAAGGAGTGTTTTGAGACGTCTCAAAACACGTGAAAAAAGGAGTGTTTTGAGACGTCTCAAAACACGTGAAAAAAGGAGTGTTTTGAGACGTCTCAAAACACGTGAAAAAAGGAGTGTTTTGAGACGTCTCAAAACACGTGAAAAAAGGAGTGTTTTGAGACGTCTCAAAACACGTGAAAAAAGGAGTGTTTTGAGACGTCTCAAAACACGTGAAAAAAGGAGTGTTTTGAGACGTCTCAAAACACGTGAAAAAAGGAGTGTTTTGAGACGTCTCAAAACACGTGAAAAAAGGAGTGTTTTGAGACGTCTCAAAACACGTGAAAAAAGGAGTGTTTTGAGACGTCTCAAAACACGTGAAAAAAGGAGTGTTTTGAGACGTCTCAAAACACGTGAAAAAAGGAGTGTTTTGAGACGTCTCAAAACACGTGAAAAAAGGAGTGTTTTGAGACGTCTCAAAACACGTGAAAAAAGGAGTGTTTTGAGACGTCTCAAAACACGTGAAAAAAGGAGTGTTTTGAGACGTCTCAAAACACGTGAAAAAAGGAGTGTTTTGAGACGTCTCAAAACACGTGAAAAAAGGAGTGTTTTGAGACGTCTCAAAACACGTGAAAAAAGGAGTGTTTTGAGACGTCTCAAAACACGTGAAAAAAGGAGTGGTTTGAGACGTCTCAAAACACGTGAAAAAAGGAGTGGTTTGAGACGTCTCAAAACACGTGAAAAAAGGAGTGGTTTGAGACGTCTCAAAACACGTGAAAAAAGGAGTGGTTTGAGACGTCTCAAAACACGTGAAAAAAGGAGTGTTTTGAGACGTCTCAAAACACGTGAAAAAAGGAGTGTTTTGAGACGTCTCAAAACACGTGAAAAAAGGAGTGTTTTGAGACGTCTCAAAACACGTGAAAAAAGGAGTGTTTTGAGACGTCTCAAAACACGTGAAAAAAGGAGTGTTTTGAGACGTCTCAAAACACGTGAAAAAAGGAGTGTTTTGAGACGTCTCAAAACACGTGAAAAAAGGAGTGTTTTGAGACGTCTCAAAACACGTGAAAAAAGGAGTGTCTTGAGACGTCTCAAAACACGTGAAAAAAGGAGTGTTTTGAGACGTCTCAAAACACGTGAAAAAAGGAGTGTTTTGAGACGTCTCAAAACACGTGAAAAAAGGAGTGTTTTGAGACGTCTCAAAACACGTGAAAAAAGGAGTGTTTTGAGACGTCTCAAAACAGGACATGGCATGTGTCTACGATGTAAACATGCTCTCATAGCCATACTGCTGTAGTGCTGTATTGATATGATCCGAACCCACCTGTCTCCCTGAACTCATCCTCCTCCCCGCCATCCACACTGCCCCGCCCCTCTGCCTCCTCCTCCCCGCTGCCCTCCTCCCCCTTTCTCAAGGTTGCTTGCGGCGATGCCCGAGGAAGATGCCTGGAAGCAGGGTAGACACAGACAGGCGAGGAATGGGTGGGTATGAGGCGTCTCCAAAACTGGGATACATTCAGGGGTCCGCTTATCCCTAAGTATCAGTGGAGCATAACGTTCCTTGTAAGAAATCTTGCAAAACTTTTTGCGGACAGAATATTCTGAACACAAAGGACACGGTCGCAAAGCCTACCTTTCCACCTCTAGCTGCACGACAGCTGGCGCCACGCGATTGGCTGCGAGCCGAACGAACGCGTTGGCTTTAAGCCTCCTGCTCCGTTTGTTTGCTACGCCTCCCGCTTGTCTGGTTTGGGCTGGCCCTGAAGATGTAACTGTAACTGAAGATGTAGCTGCTATTGCTGGTGCTGCTCTCACTCCCAAGGCTGCAGCACCCATCAGGAGAAGACCAGATAGCAGCAGCGCTCGCACTCCGCCGCTTAGGAGTTTTCTGACTTGGGAGAGAGCAGCAGCAGCAGTGCTGTTGCGAGGGGAAAGAGCCGCACCGGCTATTCCCCTGATAATGCCTCGAGTGGGCGAAACAAGCAGCGGCAGCAGTGGCAGCAGAGGCAGCATTGGAATCAGCAGCAGCAGAGGAAGCAGAGGAGGATCAGGCAAGGGGGAGACGAGTGTCCGAGGCTCGGCTGAAGGCTCGGACCATTCCTCTGTGGACCGGACGGAAGGGGGAAGCTCGGATATGGTTCGGCCGAGCCTCTTCTGTTGGAGAAACCGTGTGAAAGCGTGTGGACGGGTGAAGAGAAGGGCGGAAACAGGACCCCTAAGTTCCCTCTGTGCAGGCGAGAGCGGGGTGAGGAGCTGAGAGGAGTGAGGTGTGGTGGTGCGTGCGTGGTATGTGCACGGGCGTGGGGTGAGGAGTATCAACACTCGTTGGCATGAAAACGGATTCTGGAACGGCTGAAAGGGGTAACGGAAGCAAGGGCGGGCGAGGAGATGGGAGAGGGAATGGGGACGCGGGGAGTGGAAGGAATTGAAAGGACAGGAAGGAATGGAGGGGATGGAAGAGCAATGGTTCAATCGTGCGACGGCTAGGCTGCGGAGACCAGTGATGTGAGGTGGGTTGCGAGGCGACTCCGCGTCAGGAGCAACCCGTTGAGTCTTGGACGCGTGGATTGCGCCGCCTGAACCGAATGCCCGGTGAGAAGCCATTCACGTTGCTCTGCGCTGCGCGCGCAAGCACGTCGGCGAAGCCTCTCAGAGTCGCGTCTAGAGCTAGATTCCACGAACGTGCTCAAGTTGCTCATGAGTTGACTCTGATCACCACGCGAGCGGCGGGCATCACTGCCACGATAAAACGCGTACTTCAAGTTGCGAGGCGAACACTGAACTGCCGCGGTAGGGTTAGCGCCGCAAGATGTTAATCGACCGTCCTATACGTTTCCTCGCTTGCAGATTCGCCAAAGCTCACTGATCAGGAATTTATCCGAGCCGCCCGGTTTTGCTCTAAGTGAAAGCCGTTTCTGTCTCACTGTAAACTCTCGTTTCGATTGGGTACAGGAAATACTATTTCGAAGATTTCCGGTTACCTACACTGAACTGCTTTCGCTGTTTCCCTGGCGAAAGAGTTCTCGTAACAACGACGGAAGCTCTCAGTTCTAGGTAACCGTTGGCAAACTCTCGCGAATGTCAACTTGGCGAACACATCGCCAATGGAAACTGATGTCGCCGATCGCGACACAAACCAGGTTCTGTAGGTTGTCTCAGCCAAGAACAAACGACCGGCATTTTCTCTGCGCAGCAATAGCGCTCACAACCTTTGCAACGTCACGACTAGAACCAGTCGTCTGAATAGCCAATCGTGACTAGAGAGCAGTGACTCGAAAACGGACGTCGATCGCTTTACATCATTTCACGTTACGCCGAGAGCAGCTAGGTCGAATTTGTCTGCAGTAAGATCGATCCCATCTGGGTGACAGGTCGAGCTTCATACAAGTCATTAGCGACTGATTCTAGGGCGGTGATAGAGGGAAAGTTACCGTTGCAAGCAAACCATTCCTGGGTCGTTGCAATGGCGTTCGAAGCGCCTCCCTTGTTCTCGTCGAAGTTCCTGAAAGCGAGGAAGACGAAAAACGCCGCAGCTGGATCGGAAGGCGGGGACGGCGCGGCTCAGAATGCTCCGAAGCGCGCGAGCGTGGCTGTAACGGGGACGGCCGACGAGGCCACGGATAAGGGAGCGAAGTCGTTACGAGAGCGGTTACCAGCAGCAAGCCCCACCAGTGCTGTTGCGAAGGGTCATGGTGCAAAGAAGCGTAAAGCATTAGGGGTTGACGATACGAGTAAAGCTAAGGCTAGTCGCCCGGCAGATCCCTCGTTAGGCTCGCATAAGAAAGCCTTGAGGGTAAATTCGTTGACTGCGCGCAGGGTTCAGGGTGTCGGGTTTAAGGGGATGAGAAGAGGAAACGAGGAGGGAGATTTTGCGGAAGGCGGAGTTTTACGGGGAGGCGAGGAGTCGCAGAGGGGTGTTTGCGGTGCTGACGTGGACAAGAGTGGCCGCACACATGGCGACGTCAGGGGTGGTGAGGAGGCAAGTGACGTCAGCAGAGATGGCGCGCAGGCGAGGGAGCCGATGGGGGAGAGGGGACGCGGGGGACGGCGGAAGCGGGTGGGCGGGAGGGAGGGGAGGAAGGCGTTTGTTGATGGAGAGGCGGATGGGGAGAGGGAGGAGGGGGAGGAGGGAGGAGGAGAGGAAGAGGGGGAGGTGGAAGAAGAGGAGATGGATGATGGTAGTGAAGGGGACGAGGAGGAGGAGGAAGAGGGGAGGGAGGAGGATAAAGCAGAGGACGGAGGAACAGAGGAGGACGACGCAGCAGCAACTGCGCTCCTCGCCAAGGCTGACGTGTCCCTCTCTGCCACTGCCACGTGTGACTCCTTTGCTGACCTGGCACTGGCGCCATGGCTGGTTGCCACGTGTCACGAGATGGGTCTGCGCCATCCCACCCCAGTGCAGTGTGCGTGCATCCCCCCCGTCGTTGCGGGGAGCAACGTGATTGGTGTGGCTCAGACCGGCAGTGGGAAAACGGCTGCTTTCGCCCTGCCCATTCTGCAGGTGGGTTCTTCAGTCTAAACCCCGAGCCCTTTAAAAACCCTGAACCCACTGCAGTGTGCATGCATTTTCCCCGTCATCGCCGGTAGCGACGTCATGGCCGGCGTGTTCGTCCTAGTCCTCACGCCCACCAGGGACTCGCACTGCAGATCGCCCACCACCAGTTCACGGTCCCTCTTCCCCTCCCCACCCTTTCTTCCCTCCTGCACCCCTCCACCTGCCCTCCACTCACCTGTGCAGAAACTAGCCGAGGATCCCTATGGGGTCTTCGCGCTCGTCCTCACGCCCACCAGGGAGCTCGCTCTGCAGATCGCCGACCAGTTCCGCGCTCTGGGGTCGTCGCTGTCTCTGCGCTGCGCTATTGCTATCGGCGGGGGTGACATGGTGGAGCAGGTGAGAATGAGGGCGCGGGTTTTGGGGGTTGAGTGTACGATGCGCCCTGGAGTTGTTAGTCGGTCTTCAAAAAAAAAAAAATTCAAGTCGACTCAAAAGGGGTGCTGTCGCGACTGGGGGGAAAGAGGGAGGTTGATTTAGGGGAGATGGATGAGAGCTGAGTAGGGCATGCATGGGGATTTGGTGCTTGGTTTTCTGGAGCGTTTTAGTTTTTGAGTCGTCTCCCTCTGCATTTCATGCCTGCTACTGGAGGGACTGTGGCCGACGTGCAAGCTACACATGGCATTACCGGTGCCCGTCAGCTGTAGCTGCATTCATCTGCAAATGCAGCTGCCCCCACTCGCCCACCCCTCTCCGCTGCCCCTCTACCCTCTCCCATCTCCCCGCCTCTCCCCCTGCCTGCCTATTCAGGCTATGCAGCTAGCAAGTCGGCCGCATGTGGTGGTGGCAACGCCGGGGCGATTGAGGGAGATGCTGCAGCAGGAGGCGAGCATGGGGCGAGTCTTCAGCAACCTGCAGGTGCGCGGGTGGGTGCGCGGTGTGAGGGATAACCAACCACTTTCCAGTCAGCATAACAGGGTAGTACGTGCAAGGAAGCACGCCTCCATGCCTGACTGAGGGAGATGCTGCAGCAGGAGGCGAGCATGGGGCGAGTCTTCAGCAACCTGCAGGTGCGCGGGTGGGTGCGGTTTGCATGGGTCAGGGTCGGTTGGGTAGTTTATTCTACTGCTGGTGATGCTATTGCTCCCTTGTCGGTGCTCGCTTTCCCTCCCCCCTCCTCCTTCTCTTGACTGTCTGCTTTTCGCAGTTCTAAGTGTTGGACGAGGCCGATCGCCTGTTAGACCGCGGCTTAGAGGAGGAAACAACGGTGATTCTCTTTCCCCCCCTCTCCGCCCTCCCCCTCATTTGTGTCTCATTCCCCACGCCCTCTCTCCCGGCAGTTCCTGGTGTTGGACGAGGCCGATCGCCTGTTAGACCGCGGGAAGAGATAGAGGCCGATCTGCCACTATGACTTTTGAGTCGACTCAAAAGCCGATCTGCCACTATGACTTTTGAGTCGACTCAAAAGCCGATCTGCCACTATTTGGACCGAAGCTTCGAGGAGGAAATAGTGCCGATTCTGTTTTCCTTTCCTTCTCCCCGCCTCCCCCTCATTTGCATCTCCTTATTCGCCTCTCCCTCATTTGCATCTCCTTATTCGCCTCTCCCTCTTTTGCATCTCCTTATTCGCCTCCCCCTCATTTGCATCTCCTTATTCGCCTTCCCCTCATTTGCATCTCCTTATTCGCCTCCCCCTCATTTGCATCTCCTTATTCGCCTCCCCCTCATTTGCATCTCCTTATTCGCCTCCCCCTCATTTGCATCTCCTTATTCGCCTCCCCCTCATTTGCATCTCCTTATTCGCCTCTCCCTCCCTCCCTTGCCTGGAGTTCCTGGTCCTAAACGAGGTCGATCGCCTGCTAGACTGTGGGTTCGAGGAGGAAAAAGCGACAATTCTGCTGCACCCTCTTTTGTTTTCTTTATCCCATCTACATCTTCTCCTCCTCCCATCCGCTCCATCCTCTCCCATCCCCAGTTCTTAGTCCTGGACGAGGCCGATCGCCTGCTAGACCGTGGCTTTGAGGAGGAAATTGGTGCGATTCTGGCGAGGATGCCGAAAGAGAGGCAGACGCTGCTCTTCTCAGCTACTTTCACTGCCAACCTGCACGCACTCAAGGTGAGTGTAGGACGCCCTTCAGGTGGGTGGTAAGGCTACACGTCGGAGCGGCATGTGCCCCTCAAACCTGCCCCGTGCACTGCGGACAGATTGAATGCCCGGCACTTGCTGCTGTTCTCTGCAACCTTCATCCCGTCCCAATTTTCCCCGCACTGTATCCCATGCACTCCGTTCACACACGTGCAGGCTGTGAGCAAAACCAAGAAGCTGTTTCTCTTTGGGGCCTACGAGGGCTTTAAGACAGTGGAAGCTCTGGACCAGACGTACCTCTTCCTCCCCGCCAACGTGCGAGACGTCGACCTCTGCCGCCTCCTCTTGCAACTGATGAAAACCCATCTCAGCCCATGCCCCTTGCCCCATGCCCGTGCATCTGCTCCGTTTCCTGTGCGCTGCACCCCATACATACACACACACAGGCCATGAGCAAAACCAAGAAGTTGTTCCATTTAGAAGCAGACGAGGAATTCAAGACAGTGGAATCCCTGGATCAAGCTTACCTCTTCCTGCCCTCCAACGTGCGAGACGTCTTCCTCTGCCCTCCTCTCCCGCCCGACGAGAACCCATCCCATGCCCATTACCCATGCCGGTTTCCCCGTTTTCCCCTTGTGCGGTGCGTTGTACCCCCTACTCATCGGCAGGCTATGAGCAAAACAAAGAAGCTGTTCCACTTTGAGGCCTACGAGGGCTTTAAGACGGTCGAAGCTCTGGATCAATCCTACCTCTTCCTGCCTGCCAACGTGCGGGACGTCTACCTCTGCCGCCTCCTCTCCCGCCTCCTCCCCTCCCTCCAAACCATCCTCCCCCCCGCGCCGCCCCCCTCCTCATCTGCTGCCGCCCGCGCCCCCGTGCGGTCGGTTATCGTCTTCACCTCGTCATGCCAGTAAGCTTTGCAGAATGAGGGCGTTAGTATGGGTGGGGAAGGATGGGTTGGGGAAACGAGAGACGGGAGTAGTACCAGGGGTTCTGATCTATCTTCCCCCATCACGCTGTATGCTCTGTGACCGCGTTCACCTTGTCGTGCCATTAGATGAAGCAGGTCTGTCTCACACGCCTCTCCACGCCCTGCTCCCTCAACGCAAGCGCTTGTCTGCCCTGCACTGCTTCAAGGCCCCTCAACATTCTGCTTCTACCTCTTCTCTCCTTCACTCACCCACTCAACATGTGTCAGCCTGTCAGGCTGTCAGTGCACTGCTGGACGAAGTGGGTCTTTCCAACGCGCCTCTCCATGCGCTGCTACCCCATTTGTCCCGTAACCCCCTCTCCCTTTTCCCCTTACCCCTCCCAGATCCTGCCAGGCCGTGAGTGCACTGCTGGACGAAGTTGGTCTCTCCAACGCGCCTCTCCACGCCCTCCTCTCCCAGGGCAAGCGCTCGGCCGCTCTACACCCTTGCAAAGCATCTCAAGTGCCCTCCATGTCCTCCCACCCAACCACTGTGTGTCAGGTCATGCCAGGCCGTGAGTGCATTACTGGACGAAGTGGGTCTCTCCAACGCGCCTCTCCACGCCCTGCTGCCCCAGCGCAAGCGCTCAGCCGCTCTGCACCGCTTCAAAGCGTCCCAGGTGCCCATCCTGGTGGCCACAGACGTCGCCAGCAGAGGGCTGGACATCCCCACAGTCGATTTGGTCATAAACTACGACATCCCCAGGTGCGTTCACTAGCCAGGTTTCAGGTGGCCACTCGACCTGCTTCTGAGGCTTCTGAAATGCACCGCTTCAAGGCGTCCCAAGTGCCCATCCTGGTGGCCACAGACGTCGCCAGCAGAGGGCTGGACATTCCGACAGTGGATTTAGTGATCAACTACGACATCCCGAGGTGAGAAAATAGGCGCACTGCTGGTGTATTATCACAGTATTGTGGTGGCCACAGACGTCGCCAGCAGAGGGCTGGACATTCCCACTGTTGATCTGAACATTCCCACTGTTGATCTGGACATTCCCACTGTTGATCTGAACATTCCCACTGTTGATCTGGACATTCCCACTGTTGATCTGGACATTCCCACTGTTGATCTGGACATTCCCACTGTTGATCTGGACATTCCCACTGTTGATCTGGACATTCCCACTGTTGATCTGGACATTCCCACTGTTGATCTGGACATTCCCACTGTTGATCTGGACATTCCCACTGTTGATCTGGACATTCCCACTGTTGATCTGGACATTCCCACTGTTGATCTGGACATTCCCACTGTTGATCTGGACATTCCCACTGTTGATCTGGACATTCCCACTGTTGAGCTGGACATTCCCACTGTTGATCTGGACATTCCCACTGTTGATCTGGACATTCCCACTGTTGATCTGGACATTCCCACTGTTGATCTGGACATTCCCACTGTTGATCTGGACATTCCCACTGTTGATCTGGACATTCCGACAGTGGATTTAGTGATAAACTACGACATCCCCAGGTGAGCACTGTGCTGGTCTGAGTTGCCTTGGTCTTTCAATCTCCTCTCCAATCCAACATGGTCATTCAATACCCTGTAACACAACCCCGGGGGGTTGGTGTAGCACAACCCCCGGGCTCACTCCGGTCTATGTACACAGGGTGGGGTGAACAGCCCAAGAAGCATCACAGGGTCTTCATGCGATGCTTCAAGAAACTCCCTATCCCCCAACCTATCCTCTCTGCTCCTACCCGGTCATTCCCTACCCTGTCCCACCTCCCCCCCACCCCATCTCCAGGTTCACGCGGGACTATGTGCACAGGGTGGGGCGAACAGCCCGAGCAGGGAGTGCCTTTTTAGGGTCCCTGAAAACACTCTGCACCCCCCACCCTATCGTATCTGCCCATCTCCAGGTTCACGCGGGACTGTGTGCACAGGGTGGGACGAACAGCCCGAGCAGGGAGGGGCGGACTCGGGAGATGCCAAAAGAAACCCTGTACCCCTCTCACGCTACCTTGTCACCCCACCAACCAACCCACCCCATCTCCAGGTTCACGCGGGACTATGTGCACAGGGTGGGACGAACAGCCCGAGCAGGGAGGGGCGGACGAGCCATCAGCCTGGTAACTCAGGTGAGTGTGACTATAACGAATGGCAAGGGTGCTGTTAGTATTTTCTGGGTGGGAGCAGCGACTTAGATGAGTGTGTGCTGTTGTGCGCAACAATTGAGCTGCAAGTGGTAGTTGGGCCGACAGCAACCACAAAAGAAGCATTAGGCCGTTTGAACCGTGCCTGCTTTTTTACCACTTCTCGTTTTTGAATCCCTCCTTGCCTCCGTCCGCCCGTCCCTCCCTCTCTCTCATCCTCATGGCAGTACGACGTGCATCTGGTGCACAGCATCGAGAAGCTCATCGGCCTCTCTTGTGTCCCATGCCCCTTCATGCATGCTGCCTCCCTATATCCTCCTTCCCCCCTCCCCCCTCCCCCCTCCTCCCATTCCCATGCCAGTACGACGTGCATCTGGTGCACAGCATTGAGAAGCTCATTGGTCGACAGCTGGCGGAGTGCACTGATGTGACTGAAGGCGATGTGCTTAAATGCATCAGCAAGGTGAGTGAAAGGAGTGTAGCTGCTTTCTCTTGTAGTCCTGGGCAAGGGGAGGGAGCCATTACATTGTGTCAATCGTCTCTACTCCCTGCGTGTGCCTGTCTGTTTGTGAGAGAACACGAGACAGGTGCAGGCTGTTTGTGTGCGCCTGCTTGCGTGCCTTTTCTCTTGCTTATGTTGATGTTCCAAACACAAATGCATTCGTTTTTTTTTTTTTTTTTTTTTTTTTTTTTTTTTTTTTTTTTTTTTAGATGTCACTTGTTGACCTCTCTCCCTCCAGCTGTTCAAGTGCCGTACAGCAGTTCTGGTGGTACATGTTTAACCATAATACTCTCGCCTTCTTTTGCAGTGTCAAATTCTCCCCCTCTTTATCTCCTCTCCTTCCCCAGGTGCTCAAGGCGCGCAGGGCAGCGCCACTGAAGTTGGCAAGGACTGAAATTGCCACAATAGCAATCGCCCTCCTTTTCCTGCTTTTTCCCTTCCCTTTCTCTCATTCTCCAGGTGTTCAAGGCGAGGAGAGCAGCACTACTGAAGGTCTCAGAGAGTGGGTTTGAGGAACGGGCGAAGCAGAGGGCAGAGCAGAAGAGGAAGATTCGGGAGGAGCGAAGAGAACGAGAGGGGGGTGAGAAAGGGAAGAAAGGCAAGTGAGGATAGGTGCATGAGGGGAGATGATACTTGCAGAAGGTGGCAGAGAGGCGAGAGTGGAATGGATGAGAGGGGCCAAGCCAAGCAGAGAAGACTTAGATCTGGGAGCAGCGGAGGGGGCGAGAGGGGAGCGAGAAATGCGAGCTAGGGGAGGTGTTGGATTGGATGGCGCCGGCGAGCCGATCACTGCTAAGGCAGGGGGGGGGGGGGGGGTCGAGGAGGGGAGCAGCAGAGGGCTGAGACGAAGAACAGATTGGAAGAGGGGGGGTAAGGGAAACGTTGAAAACCATCAAAATTGCATAGTCAGTTTGATGTGTGGTTTGAGGTCGTTTGCCTGCCGGCCTCAATCAGCGAGGTAGCCTGGCAGGGCTGTGATGTGCCGGTTTCCCGTCAAAATGCGGTACGGTACCACCAGTTCTTATATATATTGTATGTGCTTTTGTCATACATCGATTGACAATATTCTGGGGAAACTTCATCAAGCCTGGAAAGTCCTCTGCTGCAAATATCACAGGCGTTTTCATATGTGATTCATAACTCAGTTTGTAACACATTTCAAAAGGGTGCTTGGTGTCGCCCTCCCAAGCACATCCAGACAGACACTGCAATCCAGTGCACCAAGATCGCCGCCCAGGCCGACCCAGATCTCCGGTACACCACAAGACACGCCGACCCGAGCACGACACAGCAGAGCAGAAACCCCGGATGCGAAAATAACCTTAACGCAGCAGGTCGGTTTAACCACGCTAGAAAGGGATGCGCTAAGACATATAAGGATGTTGAAACAATGCCATAAAACACTTTCGGATCCGCGAGCCAATCCCGAGGGAGCGGGAAGGAGCGCAGAAACGGGACGGAGGAGACGAAAGGAGCGAGGAGGGAGGAGGCGCGAGAGAGGAGGGAAGTGATGCGAGTGTGAAGCCATGTGGGTAGAGGAGAGGGGGGCTCGGCAGGATGCGGGTTAAGGAGAACCCTCCAGAAAAGCTCTTCCCAGAAGGAGGGGAAGACGAATACACAGAGGATGAGGGGGATGGGGAAACCCGCTTGGGGGAGGTAGAATGCATCAGCCCAGGAGGCGAAGAGGTACAGGAGAGGCGAGATGGCGATGATGGTGAGCAGCGTGAATCGCAGGTCGGGGGGCGCGGGGAGGGTTGTGAGGGCGCGGGATAGGCGGAGGAGGAGGAGGGAGAGGAGAGGGGGAGGCGGGGTGGGGTGGGGAGGGGAGGTCGAGCCATTGGCGGTGCCTGGTGGTAGGGGAGAAGGGAGGGAGTGGGAAACGGGAAAAGGGGGGAGGGGGGAAAGGAAAAGAGGGCAAAAGAGGAGGGTTGAAAGGCAGGTTTCCAGGCGGCTTGGGGGAGGTAGAAGGCATGGGCCTATGAAGCAAATTGGTACATGAGGGGGGAGATGGTGATGATGGTGAGGACTGAGGAGAGAGAGGGGGGGGGGGAGAGGGGGGGGGGGGTGGTGTATTTAAGGCGCCTCAAGAAAGTCATGAGGCCCAGGAGGCAAAGAGGTACAAGAGGGGCGAGATAGGGTTGTGAGGGCACGGGATAGGCGGAGGAGGAGGAGGGAGAGGAGGGAGAGAGGGGGGTTGGGATGAGGAGCGGTTGCGGAGGCGTTGGTGGTGCCTGGGGGGGGGGAGAGAGATTGAAACGGTGAAAGGTAGAGCGGGAAGGGGGCGCCTTGAGCGATGAAACCTATTGGGGGTTTCACGTTGCTTGCTCCTGCTCGGTAGTGTAATGAGAACACAAGGAAGGTGCCTGGTGGACATTGTGCTCATAATAGGCAGTGGATAAATACACAGGGGACTTTTAAGACGTCTCCATGGACACGGACACTGATCAACGGTGGCACGGGTAACAAACCAATTCCCAGGTGGACGATTCGGATAAAAGGCTTGCACTGCTACGGAGGAACGGAGGAACAACAGGGGAGCTGTTAAGGCGATTGAATAAGAGAGAGGAAACGGTACTGACCGAAGCTGCTGCTGTTATGAGCGTCGTTCGGCTCCATCCCCTCTAAAAGTAGCCCCGCTTCCGCTTCTGTGCCTTGAGGTAACGAATCTGCCATCTCGCAAGCCGTCGCATTCGCCTCTCCGTTTCTGACCTCCTCCTCCCTAGGCTCGCCGTCAGATCTGAGCTCTTGCCGTTGCGGCTGGCCGTCCATTTGGCCGGCGAGCCGCTTATGGTTGCGCTGTGACGTGACACGATAAGGAAATCGGGCCAATCCCAAACTACCAGCTGGCAATGCAGTCCCGGGAAGAAATGTCGGATGATAGCGGTTTGGATGGACAATGAACGGTTCAGAGCGGCTGAAGCTGAACCTGTAGGCGAAGACGTTGGAAAATCCGTGTGAAGAGGAGGATAAGGAAATATGCGAGGATGCGCGGACACTCGTAGAAGACGTAATTCCCGCACGTGTGCGCGACGGGTCTTGAGTCGACTCAAAAAATATGTCCCTTATGCGTGTGTGCGACGGGATAACGGCCGGAGATCTCGCGGCTTGAGCGAGCGACGGGATCGCGGTCGGATATCTACTTGCGGGGTGGCAACTCCGCGACGTGCTTGCTGCCCGGAATGTGCCTCTGGCCGGCAACGTGTCCGTTGCGGAAGGGTCTTGGTGGTTTCGGGTGGGTTGAGACGGTAATGAAGTCGTCGGGTTACGGAAGCATCTCGTGCATTGCTGCGAGGCGCCGGTATCCGTGGAGCAAGGCGGTAGGAGGCGGCGCAAGCGAATGGCTCGCATTACCTTAGCGTGCCGTGACTAGGAGGCTCACGCTCGTAATAGCAGTGCGCGGGAAAACAGCGATTCTGTTCACAGATGAAAATTATGCCCATAAAGCGTCTGTTCCACTATCACCACTGGAAATTGACGCTGCTGGTATATCCATGGCTTTCAGTCGGTGATTTTCATTGACTGGGATCATACGCGATAAAATCACGGTGCTGCATAAAAGTAGAAAATAGGAATAGATCAAATCTGGTGCGTGGAATGTAAGTCAATTATGATACGGTATTTCTTCCATCCATGTAACAACTGTGCAGCAACAGAATTCAATCGAGTCTCTTAGACGAAATCCATCCTAAACGGAGATATGTACCCTTCACTTTCTCCAACGTACCTCATTACCCTGCCACGTGGCCTCGTCTCTCCCTTGATTCATCCGCCTCTCGCGCGTTCCTCCATGCATACGAGCCGTTCCCCCCTCCTCGCGCAGCGCTCCCCTCGCAGCCCTCCTGTCTCAGCCTTCCCCGCAACCATGTATGCCTCCGCGCTGCTTCTTCCGCCCACCAGTCCCGCGAGCATCCCTGCTCGCAGGGGTGGGTCGCGCGCGGTCTGGTACGGCGGATCCGGGAGGGAGAGTGACGGTAGCGCGAGGGGGGAAGGAAAGGAGAGTGACGAAGGCGGTGTGGGAAAAGCGGGAGGAGCAGAGAGAGAGAAGGGGGAAGAGCGCGCCATATGCTCCATCAGAAGCCCAAGAGGGCAATCGAAACTCGCCGTTCCGCCGAGTCCCTGCGCCATTTGGGGCGTTGGCGCGAAAATGTGCGCTTTGCGCGCACAGATCGTTTTGCGCGATAACAGCAGCATCTTTCCAGAGGTGTAAATTCAGGCTTGCCAGTCTGCTCGCTAGTGCGCAGGATGAACAGCCGCAGCCAGGCGTTTAGGGCGTGTCCAGCGCGTACATTTTGGGAAATTAGTACCTTCACACGTTTCCCGGCTCAAAAAATCTCACTGTACCAAAAAACGAATATAAGGTGAGTCGAGTCCGAAGGATTGGGCCTTCCAGCGCGCGGACACAACCCTCTGCACACAAATTTCTACAGTTCGTGGAAAACGAGGTAACTGGTTGCCTCGTCTATCATCGCACAGAAATTCACGCACAAGCGAAAATTCCACGCTTGAACGAAAATTACTGTAGCGGGCAGGACGCAATGCTGTACCCTTGTTCGCGCGCACACTGATTCCAGTAACGTGTGTTAGACGATTCGTCGTACGCGCAGCGGGCGTGCCGTCTTGTGAACGGAAGCTGATCGTGTCCAACCTTTTTGTAAAATGCAGTGTTACAATAGGAAATGTGGTAACTGAATGGGTTTATGAACTGTAAATGTACGCGCTGGACACGCCCTTACACCTCCAGAGCACAACAATCGGAACGACAACGGCCTGAGGAAACCGTTCCTGTCGACTTTCAGTTTTGCACTGTTTCTCCCGAATCTGCGCTTACCAAATATCTGCCGAGGCGCTGCAAATTCTCCTCGTATCTTTCTCGTCTCAGTCGTGGCCAGGCCCTCAGATTCGTTTTTTGCCTGTCTGATTCATCAGACTAGTACAAAATTTTAGTCTGAAACCCTCAGAGCTGGTATATAAAAAAGGCTGAAATTTCAGAGTGAGTTAAAATAAAAGTCTGAAACATCAATGTATCTGATGTGTCATCAGAACTGTATTCAATATTTCAACTGATATCGAAACATGCTATACCTAGGGGATTTTCGGGAGAACATGCTCTGACAGGGCGAATTTCTGTGTCAGGGCGAATCTGCAATGTCAGGTGGAAGTTCGTGGTGATTGGTCGAACTTGTTGTGCTCTGACGGCGCAAATTTGTTGTGTCAGGGCGATTTTGCTGTGATTGGGCGAAGATTTTGTGCTGTAAGGCGCGGATTTGCTGTTTCAAGCCGATTTTGCATTGGCGGTGCGAATCTGCTGTGACCCGTGAAGTCCGAATAGAATCACCAGTCAAGAACGCAAGGAAAAATCGGAATCGATACGCGTTTGTACTCTGAGTGATCAGAGTACACTCCCGAAAAACTCTGAAACGTCAGAGTCAGCCTATAAAAAAATCTGATTTTCACAGAGTTGAGGCAATAAAAAATCTGAATTTTACAGAGTACACCCTAAAAAAAATCTGAAATCTCAGACTAAAACAAGCAAATCAGACAAAAAAACTCTGACTTCTGGGGGCCTGGTCGTGGCGATGGCGGCGAGGGTGGCGTGGCTGAAGAGGGTGGCGCTGCTGGCAAGGCTGCTGATGACGGCGTTTGTGCTGCTTGCAGCTACAGTGACTGTCAATTGCGTTTAGAAATTGAATGCTTCCATATTGGACCATGAAGTGTTCTAGAAATCCGCTACTGTACAGGGTCGACTACAGTGACTATGAAGTGCGTGTAACTAGCACTTGGTGACGGCAAGGCGCCTGATCCGAGCAGCACAGCAGTTGCTGTTAAGGGTCCGGGGTTCGTTGGCTCAATCAGATCCCTCGCTCTAGTCTCTCTGTGTGTACTCATTGTTGTCGACGTCTGTGTGAACTCTATGCGTGAACTCCCTCGTCACTTCACCCTTATTAGACGTCTCAAATTTAATTTCTGGAATTCCTGTGCACTCCTTTTTCTTTTTCTTCTGTTCTACTTTTTTTTCTTGATGGCGCTTCATCCAGACTACCACAGGTTCAGGACATGAAGCAGCTGCTACAGATAAGGGGAAGGCATCTGTGCGGTCCAATCTGTGGTGCAGCATCTCATCGTATCTCATGCATCTGCCTGCGGCTCTTAGAGAGCTCCTGCCATCAGCCGTCAACACTTATATCGTGGTGAGAGTTCACTCATGTAGTTGATTCATGTGAGAGTAAGGCATCAAATGGCATAATTCAGTCCCTGTTCCTACTGCACAAATTCCTCGTGAGCTCACTGGGCTGTTTTTGTTTTTGGTTTGCTTCCCTATTTTCCACACCCCTTTCCTTTTCTATCTCATCTATCCACCTCCCTGTACAACCCCTCCTATTCCTCGCTTTTAACCTCTTCAGCTCATTCACATGTATCTCGCATGAATCACTCTAGTTCTTGTCCTCTGGTCCCTCTTCCGTCTATCCCTCCATTCCTCACCTCTGCCTTTTCCTACACTCTTCACCTCCTTTGATACCTCCCCCACACCCCCCCCCCCCCTCCCACCCCCATAACCGGTCAGCTCATCCACGTGTACCTAGCATGCAGCACAGTCGTTCTTATCCTCTGGTCACTGGGCATGTCCCAGTCACTCATCCTGCACTACCTGCACCAGCAGCTACATGCAACCCCTCCCTCCTCCCTTTGCGCCCCCCCCCCCTTCAGCTCATCCACGTGTACCTAGCATGCAGCACAGTCGTTCTCATCCTCTGGTCACTGGGCGTGTCCCAGTCACTCATCATGCATTGCCTGCACCAGCAGCTACTGAGAGCCAGAACCACCCTCCTCGAGCTGAAGAAACACGCCCTTGATTCTATGGTAAGGCTGCATTGACCCTTTCCTTCTGGTCCCTCTCTTCCCACTTACGCACCGCTCCTCACTCGCCCCTTTCCCCCTGACAAACCGGCTTTGCCACATCACATGTATCTAGCATGGGGCACCTTGGCTGGTTCTTATCCTCTGGTTGTTGGTTGGGCGTGTTCCAGGCACACATAATATCCTGTCTGCATCAGCATCTACTGGCAACCAGGACAACCTTTCTCAAGCTGACGAATGACGCCCTCGATTTCATGGTGAAACGAAATCTACAATTTCCCCTTGAAATGCTTGTTGCTCCTTTCTGGAAATGTAATCGTAAAACCAGCTCATGCCATGTTGCAGGCCACTCAAGGAACCTCCTTTTGCCAAGCTACCAGGTACGTCGTCACATCTTCCTTTCGTCATTTGTAGATGATTATGGGCAAGTAGTTTTTGGCAATTTTAACAGCATTTCTTGCCACATACAAATCATTACTGCCAAGGTGTAGAGTTGCCTGCCATTTTTCCAGGGTCCATAATCGGCTTCTTTTGCTTGTTGCTTCTGCCATCACAAATTGTTACTGTATTCGTTTCATCCTCTTGGCGCTTGATATCTAAATATTCCCTCCCCTGGCAGGCATGTCTTTGCTGCTAAACCTGTCATGGGAGACTCAACACCAGAAAACGCAGAGCTCCGTGGATTGTCCCGTCAGATGGTCAATCTGACGGCTGAGATGAACTCGAAGATGAACAGCATGATGCAACTGCTCCAGGCAGTAAAGCAGGAGGTGGAGGCAGGTAGGCAGGTATCGCAGAGTCAGCCAAACGAGGAGGGAACGTGTAACAATGGGCTGGATGGGCTGCAACATTCCAGCATGGGGGAGAGGCAGGTGCAGGCAGAGGCACGGGAGGAAGAGGGGCGTCCGCCACAAGGGTTATCTGAGTCTGGGGGGCGTATGCTTGAAGAGATGTTGGAGGAATGCAGGATGCAGATGAGAAAGATCAGGTGGTTGAGAGAGATGAGAGAGATTGTGGATCTGGGGGAGTAGGAGGAGGTGGAAGAGGAGGAAGCAGCAGCAGGTGAGGAGTGTGAGCCTTGGGATGAGCAGGAATTGGAGACGTGGATTCAGTTTTTGGAAAGGGTTTTGAGGGAGAATAGACGGGAGCATGAGGAGGGGTCTGAAAGAGTGGGAAGCACGGATGGTGTTGGTGCAGGGATGTCTAGTGGGGTGGCTCGGTCAGAGGAGGAAAAAGATGGGGCTCTGAGGGGAGATAGGGAAGGGTGGGCTGACACGGGAGGACATTCGGATGATATCGAGGCTGGCGTGGCTGATGGTGGGAATGAGGTTGAGAGGATGAAGGGTGACGTGGAGAGGATGAAGGGTGACGTGGAGAGGCTGAGGAATGAGGTGGCAGGAAGGGCGAGAGTGGAGGAGGAGAGGGCGAGAGACATCAGTGGCCTGAGAAGGGAGGTCGAGGGTCTGAAGAGTTGCAGTGGTGATGCAAGTAAGTGCCTGGACGAGCTGAGGGCTGAGATGAAGGCAGAAATGGCTGTGCTGGTGGCGCAGAGTGAGAGGAGGGTTTTTGGCAAGTTGGATGAGTGGAGGCGTGAGATGGAAGAGGGGAGGGCGGAGGAGGCAGGGAGGATGAGGGAGTTGAAAGAGGAGGTGGACGCGGGAAAGGCAGAGGTGGTAGGGAGGTTGAGTAAGATCAACCATCGGCTGGATGAGGGGAGGATGGAGGCACGCGCCAGTGCAGCCAGTGCACTGCAGGATCGGGAGAGGGTGGAAGGGTTGAGTGTTCGGCTGGGGAGCTTCCAGGAAGTTACCGCGAGGGTTGAGGGGGAAATCCGAGCTCTGTGGGAGGTGAGCATCCGATTTGGCACTCTTCTTAGTAAGGGCTTTATGTAACATTTTCGCCAGTATCCCTTTTGTATGAACCCGTCCCCAATCTTACCACGCCGAAATGCATTATTTCCTGGTTCGATTATCACAGTGGTGTCCTGGCAACATCAGTGGTGCCATGTGCATTTGATGTGTGCCATTGGCAATCTTTTTCCTCCCCGCACCTGAAGTTCGCCTCAAGGCCTGCAGGACGGACCGTCTCATTCTGCCTTGTGTTTTCCCTCTCTGCAGGCATTCCACAGCGTTGGGCTGTGAGGGAAGCGTTGTAGATACAAGTGTCAGCATCAATCCTCATCATCAATCTGGGTCGTGTGGCCTGAATTTGCGCAGCAGTCGTGTCTTGGATTGTAGTGAATGGCTTATGACTGAGATTCTGTCCTGAGAGTTTCTTCTTTGATTCATGAAATAGTTCTTGGAGAGGACTATGCCATTGGAAAGCTTACCATCGACTACAGAAGTGTAAAGATGGGGGCTCCATAACCGAAGTACCGGTAATAGAAGACCTATAGTGAGGGGCTATATTCTGGGGGTGATGGACGGTATGTATGACGCAAAACTCCGTGCCAGCTACTTTTGTAAATTACATGTACCCTATCACAAAGCTGTTTTTCAATTTAGTGTACCGTATACTAAATGAAGGAGAAATGACAACAGACACACCTTGAAAACAATTCTCGGCAATATGACAGCTTCTAAATCCTACCTCGCGCTTTGCCTTGAAACTTTGCTCGCAACGGCTTTTCAGGGTCACAATTCCCTGACTCAAATGCGGCCATGGGTCTATTAGCATAATACACAGCTGTGCTCGAGTAACCAGACACGGAAATAACGTACGCATCGCACGAGGCCAACAGCAGCCACTCTGTTACCAGCTCTTGGAACAAACGCTCCTGCTCGCGTTCTGTATCTCCCTCCACTCCCTCCACTTGCCCGGCAATCTCCCCTGGGCTTGGAGTGGAAGAGCCATTGCCAATGCTGCCGGCAACGCTGGAGCTCAGACTATTCGCATGCCGAGGTATGAAGTCGGTAGTGATAACCTGGGAGGGTCAGCGGAAGAAGAGAGCGAGGAAGAAAGGAGGGGGTGCGAAAGAAGAAGAAATAGCAGGTTTCAGGGCAGCGTGTTACATAAAAAACCACAAGGGTCGTTCGCAGACGAGAGCCTAGGAAATGGCCGCAGAGTGCTGGCTTTCCCACCTCCCTTTTCCCTCCTGGTCCCTCTCTCCTCCCTCCACTGCACCTTCCTTCCCACCGAGTGATACACACACACACACACACACACACACACACACACACACACACTCACACACACACACACACAATCACACACACACCCCAACCCCCTCTCACACACCTTGTAGGGAAATCTAGATTTGAGAGCGGCCTTGAGCTGCGCGGAGTTGGTGATGAGCATCCAGCGCACCGCAACGGACGACGGGAACCAGTACGATTCCACACGCTGGAGGCACGGGGAAACAGGGCGAGCAAGCACAGGGAAACAGGGCGAGCAGCAAGTGTCTAGGAAAGTTTTGAGAATTCTCAAAAGTGACACGACGCTGGTGCCATGGGGAAACAGGGCGAGCAAGTGTCTAGGAAGGTTGTTAAGTGGACGCGGGGAGAAATGAGGGATGGCGAGGGTAGTCAGGAGGACAGAATCCTATGCGCTTGCGCACGCTTGGGGTTGGAAAATGAGAGGTTCAGGGAATAACGTGGCGAGATAAGATACCCGAAACCCCTGCCCAATGTTCCCACTCCCAACTTCCCCATCCCTCCTCCTCTGCACTCACCTGCGCGCACAGAATCCACTCAGCTGCGCGCACAGAATCCACTCACCTGCGGGCACACAATCCACTCACCTGCGCGCACAGAATCCACTCACCTGCGGGCACACAATCCACTCACCTGCGGGCACACAACCCACTCACCTGCGCGCACACAATCCACTCACCTGCGGGCACACAATCCACTCACCTGCGCGCACACAATCCACTCACCTGCGCGCACACAATCCACTCACCTGCGGGCACACAATCCACTCACCTGCACGCACACAATCCACTCACCTGCGCGCACACAATCCACTCACCTGCGCGCACACAATCCACTCACCTGCGCGCACAGAATCCACTCACCTGCGCGCACAGAATCCACTCACCTGCGCGCTCACAATCCACTCACCTGCGCGCACATAATCCATTTCCGGGCGCCAGCAATGAGCACGTCCACCTGCTTCGCACTCAGCTCCTTGGGCGCCCCCCTGTCGCCCGCCCACACCACCCGGTCGCGCACGCGGATGTGGATCCCCACTGTTGCCACCCGCGGCCTCCCCGCGCCTGCCTTCCCCGCCCACGACCTCCTCCGCAGGCGCCGCTCTATGCTGTGGAACAGCGCTTGCACCTCTGGCTTGGGACTGGAGGAGGGTTTGCAGGGGAGGAGAGAGAGCGGGCAGAGAGGAGGGTGGAGGGGGAAGAGGGGAGGGTGAAGGGTGAACGCGGCGTGGGGAAGAGTGAGAACAGAATGCAAAGAAAGACGGTAGACAGGTAGACGAGGCGGGAAAGGAAAGTGGAACAACTGTCTCTCGCCAATAATTCCAACAACTGGAATGGACTCCAATAATTCCATTCACACACCACTCTCCTCTCTCTCCTCTCGCTTCCCCCGTCCTTCCCTTCCACCGCTTTACCGCATGAGGAACCGCAGCGAGCATCCGAGCGCGTATGGCAGCCGCATACCCATCGCCTTAAACCTCTCCGCCCACTCCCCCTTCGCCCTCGTCTGCAGCCACGTCAGCACGCCGCGGTTGCTCGTCATGCGAACGTTCACCGCGCCTTCCAGCTCCTTAAAAAAAGGCTCGATCCGCACGAACTTATCCCGCAGCCACACCAGCACCACCTCCCCGTCGCGCGCGCGCTCCGGGACCATCCTTCCCCAGCCATAGTCCACCAACGTGAGGTTCCGCGCAGGTTCCAACGGCACGAACGGGCCGGGCTCCCAGTTGATCATGCTGGGTTCGAAAGCTTTGGGAAGGCAGTGGTTTCGGACTATAAGCGCGCGATTGTCGAGTATAGCCACGACTAATGCGGTTACCAGCCCCGCGAGAACGTCCGCGAAGCCGCCACAGCCGTCCAACCACTCGAATGTGAGGAAGCGAACAGGCGGATCCAGCCGTCCATCCGTCATCAGCTCAGCAGGCTGCTGCTCTATCCCATACGGCTTTAAAAGAGATGTCTCAAAAGACTCTAGCTCTTCGTTCCCCCTTGATTTCTCCGCGTGTTGCTGTGTCAGGTACGCTTTTAAGGCGCGTGCGCGTATTCGGCTGTGCAATGCGGCGTAGTCACTAGCCCAAGTCCCGCATAACCCGTGTGCTTCGGAGAAATTGAAGTCCAAAGAGCGCGGCATGCGAGTCTGTTTTTCGAGAGCAGAGACAAGAAACAGATTCAGCTGAAAATACCTAAAAAAAAAAAAAAAGAGCGGCATGCGAGTCCGTTGTCGCAACTGACGCTCCTGCCATCGGCGGCAGGTGAATGTGGGCACGAAGGAGATCAACACGAACCACGGAACAACACAGAAATCGAAGCATATTAACAACAAGGAAGCATTCGACGACAACGCGTGGGTGAGAGTGTGCGGGAGGAAGGAGATAGAGGGCGGAAAGGGGGAAGAAGGAACAAGGGAAGGAGTGAGGAAGGGAAGGAGGGTGGGAAAAGGGGGAGGGATGCAGATGTTCAGACCTGAGCCTAGTTGCAGAGTATGTTTCGCAGTTTCCTAGTTAGGTGCTTACGGGAATGGTCGGGGCGCTTCAAAGATTCGTGATTATTTACCTTGATGCGCTGGGATGTTGCCAGCGAGGCAGACGCGAGAACGAAATGCAGAACAACGAGCAGCCGCACAATCGACCCGCGAAACGCCATTCACGTAGGCGGTTGTCTAAAGTGTGTGTTAGATGTCGTTGTGTTTGATGTCGCTGTGTTAAATGTCGCGGAGAGATAAATAGTGAACATGGGAGGCTGAGGGAGGCGAAGAAAATGCATTGAGATACCAGGATGAGAAGGGGATTTTGACATTTAGAATGTCAGCGTTGGATTACTTTCAGACTTGTCGCGTTGGGCTGACATAGCAGAGATGCGGTGCGAGATGCTCACTCGCTGTTCGCTGATATGTGATACACAGACAGGCCATAAACGATGCTGTCGTTTTCCCGCCTCGATGTAGCAAGTTTCTGACAACCTTGTGTGCGTCGCGTCGCGGGAAATTTGTTGCCTCAACGAACAAGAATTTTCAGCAGATGATACTCGGTTCAATGAGATTGTCCGCGTTCCAGAGCGTTCACAAAGGGACTACCGTCCCTCCTCGCGATTTGGGCACGAAAGGGTCTTCCCACCTCGTTCACCTCTAGCATTGATTGGCTCCTGGGTTGGCAACCTTCTGACACCACCAGTGTCTCAGAGAGTTCAGTCAGAACGAGGCGTACTCGTCTTAAACATCAGTCACATACAAATGTCATTTCTGGAACCATTTTTTAGAATGGCACTTATTAAACACGGGTATGTATCCTAAAAAAAAAAAAAAGTATGTATCCTAAAGTTTCCATAGCAGTAGTTTCTCTTGGGCTCTTACTGGTAAAGTGGAAAACATATCATTAAAAAAAATCATATGCAGACCCCCAAAAGCAAGGGTTGCATTTCGTAGGCTCACCAAGTAGCTAAACAATCCACTTGAATGAATATTTTTACCGGTAATGTAATCAACTTTCTTGATGCTCCACTGTCATTCCACTCATCCCCCCATTGGCACATCTCCCGAAGCCTTTGCCACTGTCGAGCTAGACCTCACTCAAGCACTCAGGAACATTGGCGGCTGGAGGCGCAATGACGTCACATCCCTTTTTGCTTCACCATTGAACCCCAACCCCCCTCCCATCCCTGATCCATCCCCCTAGCAGCATTTTTTTCCTCGGGTTATTCATCCAGGCCCCAGCAAGAGTCTGGCGATGGCGTCTGTGGTGGCTGGAGACAACCTGATACCAATTTCCCTCTTACTTCACTGCCCCACTCACATCCTCTGAGCAGCAATATCCCCACCAGCAGCTTCAGCTATCCAGTCAACCCCCAGCAAGAGCCTGAAGATGGCATTGGTGATGGCTGGAGGAAGCATGAGCTCACATTCCTTCCTGCTTCACCATCCCGCCTACCATTCCCTCTCCCATCCCTCCACCAGCACCAGTGTTCCCCCCAGCTTCATTTATCCAGCTAGCCCCCAACAAGAGCCTAAATATGGCATCAATAGTGTCTGGAAAGAGCACGAGCCCATCTTTCCTGCTGCTTCACCATCGTTCCCTCCATCCCCCTTCCCATCCCCCATCCCATTCCCCTTCCCATCCCCCCTCCCATCCCCCATCCCCCATCCCCTTCCCCTTCCCCTTCCCATCCCCCCCCCTATCCCTCCCCCCCTCCTATACACCTAACAACACCATCCCCCCCAGCTTCAGAAATCTAGCCAGTCCTCAGCAAGAGCCTGAAGATGGCGTTTGTGGTGGCTGAAAACAACCTTCTTATTTCACCATCAACACTCCCACCCCAGCACCACCGTTTTCCATAGCTTCAGCTATCCAGCTAACCCAACAACAGAAACCTCACGTCCCTCTTCTTGCTTCACCATTGTCTCCCCCATTCCCCTCCTCCTCATCCCCTGGCACCACTGCTCCCCAGCCTCAGCTATCCAGTTAGCCCCCACCAAGAGCCTGAAGATGGCGTCAATGGTGGTTGGGGGTAGGAAGATATCACATCCCCTCTTCTTGCTTCGCTGGGCCTCCCATCCCCTCCCATCCCCCCAACAGCAACACCACCTCCAGTTTCAGCCATCCAGCCAGCCCCCAGGAGAAGCCTGAAGATGGCATCAGCGGTAGCCTTTTTCTTGTTCTTTTCGTTTTCGGGCTGGAGACAACCTGATCTCACATTCCCCTTGCTTCACCATCCCACCTCCCATCCCCCAACCAGCAATACCCCTACTAGCTTGAAGATAAGTGGTGGCATGTGGCAGACGGAAGAGTTGGTTCACTGCTACTCATGAAATGGCACCCCCTGATAGGGCCGCTTGTTGCGAGATGATCTGATGAAATGGGTGGAGACGGAGAAGGGGTGGATGGTGGTGTGAGGAGAAAAGCTTTGTTCATGCTATGCCATTCATGATGGTAGGCCAACTACCGGTTAGCCGTGTTCACAACATCATGTGCCAGATTTTATCAAACCACACATTGTTGTACACCGCGCAGTCTGAGTCAGTCTTCACCGCGCAACCAACGCAGCATGGTTTGTTTCCACCTGTTGTATATATCGCTCCCCATCCCAGTAAATCACAATGAGTTCAACTATCTTGTTGCTCACTATCATCAACCCCAAATCCCCCATCGGCACTATCTCCCCGAGCCTCAGCCAATAAAAAAATACGCTTATGGCTGGACTGTAGGCACTGTGATCTTACACATCCCTTTTTGCTGCACCGTTGATCCCCAATCCCATCGCCCTTCCCAAATCCATCCCCCTAGCAGCACAATTTCCCCCGGATCCAGCTATCCAGCCAGCCCCCAGCAAGAGCCTGAAGATGGCATCAGTGATGGCTAGGGAGAGCATGCACTCACTTCCCTTCCTGCTTCACCATACCCCCTCCCATTGCCCCTCCCATCCCCCCACCAAAACAGTTTCCATCCGCTTCAGATATCCAGCCAGCCCCCAGCAGAATGCCTGAAAATTGCATCAGTGGTGGCTGGAGGCAACCTGATCTCACATTCCCTCTTGCTTCACCATCCCCCCTCCCGTCCTTCCCATCGCCCCTCCCATACCCCCACCACCAGCACTGTTCTCCCAAGCTTCAGCTATCCAACCAGCCGCCAGCAAGAGCCTGAAAATTGAATTGGTGGTGGCTGGAGGCAGGCGGGAAGAGTCGGTGGACCGCTGCTCGTGAGATGGCCCCTCCTGACAGCACTGTTTGCTGCAAGATGACCTGATGAATATGGGTGTGAAAACGAGGCAGGCGGAAGAGTCGGTGCACTGCTGCTCGCGAGATGGTCCCCCCTGAAATCGCTGCTTGCTGTAGGATGACCTGATGGGTATAGGTGGGCGTCGGGTGGGAGAGGGGGCAGTGTGAGGCATGATAACAGGCAAATGTTGTCAGGAGTGGCAGGGGGCAGGCGCAAGAGTCCGTGCACTTCTGCTCGTGAGATGGCCTGACGTGAGAGGGCTGATTGTTGCAAGATGACATGGTGGGATGGGTGCAAGGGGGGCGGGGAATTGTGCAAGGCAAAAGCCAGTGCACCAGGCAGGCATCAAGAGTGGATGCTTAACACATGCACTTAGACCTACTTACAAGAGTTCATCTTCGTCGCCCTCCTATGCCTACTCGCTCCGCGCGCATAATGCAAACACCAACACAGAGCGCGAAGGTAGTGTGCTGCTGACCGCAACCAAGATTTGAGGCCCACACTTAGCATACCTCATTTGAGGTACGTAGTATCATACACACGGGGCACACCTACACCACAAACCTCACCTGCATGCAGAGTTCCCTGAGCTCACAGCATGGTTTGACATTGTCCATTAGAGTGGATGACGTTGTTTGGCATGATCCGTAAGACATGCACAAGAGGAAAGATGGTAAGTGATCCATGGGTAGCGGCGAGAGGTAGTGGGGAAGGAAAGAGGTTGGCCAAATGTATGGACTGGATTGAAGGCAGCGGGAGTCATGAGAAGAAAGACACACAAGCAGAGAAAGAAGAGCAGGAGGAAGAGCAGTTACGGCATTATAGAAGGGAGATTTGGATGCGTGCAGATGGTTGAAGGAGATAACTATGCTTATTATCTCGCCTTGACTGATAGCAGCACATATCAATACCTGTAAACCTCTCACCTTGGATGACAGCAGCTCGCATGCCGGTTGGGAGGAGATGCGAAGTGCTGCCGAGGCGCCTACTCCTGCTGCTGTTGTGCTGATGGCTGTGGGTGCAAGTGGCGAAAGAACAACGAGGAAAGAATGGAAGTGGCAGAGGTTTGAAGAATGAGTGGGATTGGACATGCACGTGAAGGGACATGTGCATAGGCTGCTTATTCAAGGCGGATCTAACAGTTTGACTCGAACCATTTCTGGTTCGAGTCTGACTTTCGGTTTTTGCTCCACATTGCGAGTCGAACTGAACCAATTCGATGTGTTTTCAAATTGTGTCGAACCCCGTTTGGATTGACACGGAAACCTGCCTAGCTCAGGCCATGCAGGTTGGACGGAAAAGTGAATTTGTGGGAGTTGGGGGTCGCCAGTCCTCACCCAACTCCTTAGCCACCCTTACCTTCCTAGAGTCTTTTGCCAATGGAAGCTCACTACCATTATATTATTATCCTTTTTGGACTGACGGAACTGAAATGAACTGGTTCGAGTAACCACCACCACCAATGGCTCGGCCCAAAGGGCATCGGGTTTGACGACGAAGGTTGAACCTCCAACTTACAGACCCGTTACGATCGAACACCACCGAACCAGTTCGGTTCAACCAGGTCAGGTTCGGTACGTGCTCTGTCATGTCCACATGCATTCATGCACATGCAGGTATGCCACCTCTCAAGCGAATGGGTGTAACATGAGAGGCAGACATGAGTCATGCAATGGTCACAAGGAGTGAGGCTCAGGCTCAGCCGCTCAGCACACAGATACGGTGCAAGACATGCGATGCAGCAACAGCAGCGGTGGCGACTGCGGTGGTGGAGGCGGCACCAATGGCAGCGGCAGCAGTACTGCATTGCAGAACAGAAATACATGTGTTCGTGCCCCATGTATTCGTGTCACCTGGCTTTCACACACCTGTGGCGGAGGTGGAAGGCACGCAATTGGCGGCAACAGCAGCATCAGCGGGGTTGTCCTTGTAGTGTGCATGGATGAACCGATGCCCCTCTGCCAGCGACTTGCACCCCGCTGCTCTCAACTCCTAAACCACCAGTAGAACCAGCAGAAGCAGCGGGGTTGTCCTTGTGTGTGCCTGGGAATGGGAGGGATGGGAGGGATGGGAGGGGATGGGAGGAGATGAAGAAAAGGAGAGGTGAGGAATAAGAGAGTTCATGGTGACATCTGATGGCTCAAATCATCACTACTTACTTACTATGTACTACTTTAGTCAAACTACAAGCCTCACCTGCAGCACAACCACTTTGTCCCAGTCTCTCTTATTTGGGTCAGGTTCTGCATCTGCCAGTCCCTCGTGCTCCTCTGCACAGAGGAACTGTAGAAACATCTCTTACAGAAACATCTCCCACAGAAACATCTCCAGAAGCGCACAAACATATCTTCCTTTGAAATTATTGCTTCTGTGCTGACACCACCACCACACATCCACACAAGCAAACCACAAGCCTCACCTGCAGCTCGGCCACTCTGTCCCACAGACGTTGCGCCTGGATAAGCATCTGCACCAGCCCCTCGTGCTCCTCAGGACAGAGTAACCGCGTAAACATGCAGCATTGCAGAACTCTCTCCCTTTCCTCCTTTGATCTCCTCTCCCCGCCGCCTCCTCGCTCCCTCCTCTGCATTTCGCTACCCTTTCTCCCAAATCTCCCACCGTCTCCCTTTCACCTCCGCCTTCCCTTTCCCCTCCTCGTTCCACCGCCTCCTCTGCCCTGTCCTGCTCCCTGCCCCTGCTTCTACTGGTGTTTGTTTCGGACCGGATCATTCCATCCATTCTTCTCGGGTCCAGCAGACCACGTTCCAAGATGAAGGCCTTGCACCGGGATCGGCGTATAGTGGGTGAGAGACAGGATTTTGAGACAAGGAGTCAGATATTGGGAAGGGCATTGAGGGAATAGACAAGGGAGCATGGGGTTGATTCTGACAGGGGCGGGTTGGAAAGTAGTGGTGATATTGCTGTGGAGAATTTGGCTATGTTCGGTAGAGTGAGTGAGTCAGACGGGAAAGACGGGGTAGTGAGGGGGAATGGGGAAGGGAATGAGGCTGACGTGGCTGGTCTCGGGAATGAGGTGGAGAGGATGAGGGATGACGTGGAGAAGGTTAAGGTTGAGGTGGCAGGAAGGGCGAAAGAAGAGGAGGTAAGGAAAAAAGCCATCAATAGCCTGAGGAAGGAGGTCGAGGGTCTGAAGTACGGAAGTAGTGATGTAAGGAAGTGCCTGGACGAGCTGAGGGCTGAGATGAAGGCAGAAATGGCTATGTTGGTGGAGGAGCGGGAGAAGAGGATATTGGGCAAGTTGGATCAGTTGAGGCGTGAGGTGGAAGAGGGAAGGGCGGAGGAGACAGGGAGGATGAGGGAGTTGAGGGAGGAGGTGGACGCGGGAAAGGTAGAGGTGGCTTGGAGGTTGAGTGAGTTGCGGCAACGCCTGGATGAGAGGAAAATGGAGGCAAGTGGCGGTGCGGCCGGTGCAATGGATGGCGGGGAGTGGGTGGAAGTGTTGAGTGCACGGATGGAGAACTTCCGGGAAGTTGCCACGAGAGTTGAGGGGGAAATCCAATCTCTGTGGGCGGTGAGTGTCCGTTCTAACACGGTTGGCAACTTTTTGCCAGTATCCCTTTTCTATAAACCCATGCCCATTTTTACCACTTCTACCACTCCTGAAAGCATCATTGCCTGTTTTAGTAATCACAGCTGTCTGCCCGGCAAAGATTACACTAGTGGTGCCATGTGTACTTGGTTCGTGCCGTTGGCACTCTTATCCCTCCTCCATCTTCTGCAGTTTGTCTCAAGGCCTGCAGTACAGTCTCATTCTGCTTTGTGCTTACGTACCCTCAGAAATGTGACCATGACTAAAAAACAGACTCATTATGTGTTGTGATTTCCCTCTACAGGCGTTCCACAGTGTTGGGCTGTGAGGAATTAGTTGTTAGTGTCGCGATTGCACCATCAATTTGCGGCATGTCGAGAAGTTTTACTGTGTGGCTTAAAGTTGCGCACTCGATGGGGCCTTCCAGTCATGTCTTGGATTGTAGTCGAAGTGGCAGCATGTCTTAAGATAATCTCGCTGAGGGCTTTGCCATTATACGCGCGCATTCCAACTCCGTCTTTTTTTTTTAGATGTAGCTAGCTTGCATAGAAAACATTTACAGGTATGAAATGGGGGTACCGGTATTGTCAAATATTGGATGTACGGTACAATTCGCTAAGTCCCAAATTGGGTGTACGGTATATTAAAAAGCAATACCACATGGATTTGCATGGGGGTAAAAGCATACTTCACATCTTCTGCACAAGTGAAGCATAACTCGTACAAGATACCAGTACAGTGTTTGCAAATGCCAAAACTGAGAAGCCGCCCATGTACGGACACGACAAATCACATCACATTCTCATGCAGTATTGCATCAAATCCAAGAATTTCTACACACTAAGACCTCCGGATAGGGCTCAAACTGGCTGGAGGTAGAAACATTCACATTAGGAAGATGCCCGTACCTCGAAACCCAACCTAATGTCTCATAGTCCGGTAATCCAGCCTTCTCAAGGAATGGAAGGGCCTTCAGGCACTCAATGGCAGATTGATAATCTTGAAAGCAAGTCCTCAACCAGATGGTTTTGAGGGATCGGAACAGTTTTAGGTGCTCCTTGATGGCCTGCTGAGTGATGTGTGTTGGCAGGCTGAGCCATGTCAGATTCGTCAGAGGCACAAGATGAGCGAACCCATCATCCCTGACATTACACGCACTGATATCCAGTGCTTCAAGGTTCGTCAGCTTCCCCACATGTAGCATGCCACCTGATGAAAAACGACTTGCGGCATGGGATGGTGCACTCAGGTTACTAGAAAGAAGGAGGACTTTGAGAGACTCAAGGCATGTCAAATGGGAGAGCCCAGCATCTGTAACCTGAGTCCCGATCAAGTCGAGTCGACGGAGAGCTGTCAGATTGCTGATTCCCAAGACCATTGAATCATTAAATACGTGTGACTCGAGTTTCAGCTCCTCCAGCCATGTCATGGTGTAGACGGGACTCAAGGCCGTTACGTTGATGTAGGAAGTAAGGTTGAGGATCTTCAGGGCAGTCAGGTACGGGAGGTGAGAAAGTCCAATGTCACCAATGGGACCATCATTACTGCTGAGCTGCATTACCGTTGTGTCTGCAGGAGCATGAATGATCTTCAAATCTGCAATGGTCGCTTGCCCATTTGAAGATTGGTGCTTTGAAGTCAGATAAATAGCCTGGAAACATCAGCATCTTGGGGATTAGCCTCAGAAACAGGCAAAAAATGCGCACTCATCAAACATAAGCTCCAGCAAACTAACTTCTCACCTCCCAGACTTTCTTTGTTTCATCCTTCTGCTGCTCCAGCGCTTTTACGGCCAGCACCGATTGTGCTACCAAAGTGGACAAAAGTGATTCCCTATCCTTGTTTGGATCCTGAGTTTCATCCTGAACAACTGCACCAGTTGTTGACTGACACAAAGCTCGAGAAATCGCCTGAATCAACGCATTATAAGAAAACGCTAAACTCGGAATGAGTAAACAGTCGTTCTATTCACGTTCGAATAACACGCTCAAAGAAACGTTCCCGCTCACCTCCCAGATCTTGCACGTGTCTTCCTTCTGATGCGACAGCAATTCCTCTGCCTGCGAGAGTCGCGCTGTCAGTGCAGCCACATCCTTATCCTTCTCCTCCCTTGCAGCCCTCTCACCTGCTAGTTGATTTCTAAGTTCGCTTATGCTCTTATTGTGTTCTTCCCTCATTTCTCTCAAAAGTGCCTCCAGACTCTCCAATTTGGCAGTCAGCATTGGGCTCTCCGTGAAATCTCTTCTTGGTCGCTTTTCCGCTTCCAACTCCCTCCTGGCATCGTCGAATCGAACGGCTAATCTTGTCCCTACGCTCACGATCTCCTCCAACAGCCTTGCGGTCGCCGTCGCCATTGAACTCGACTCAGCTTGGTGACAAGAGGAACAAGCGAGTGAGCACCGTCAGCGTGAAACTTGGTTAGCGAACTGGATTCTGGGTCTTGCTGCTCTATTGATCTAGAGCAATCCTGGGAGCCTACGAGGAGTTCCCAAGGAGTGCGCTGGAGATTTTGAGTTCATCCCTCTTTGCCACTTTGAACCGAGCGAAACCGTGGGGATTCGACAGCACACCAACTTGAGCTCGAAGATGGATGGTGGAGAAATCCTGGTCTGGTACATTTGAGCGAAACTGAACCAACACAGCCCTTCGTTCCGGTCAGTGCGTTCAAGTTCGCTCTTTTTCGTAGATCATGTTGGTGAATCCACGATAACGACGTGTTGCGAGATCATGTTACCATCAGGGTCAAAACGCCGTGCAGAAATTCCGACACTGTGCGCTGGTTACCCGAATGAACTGACCTGGTTCAGTCTCCTGTGCGTGATTGTGGACTGGCTCCTCTCGACGAAGGAACATCCACACTTGCTGCCATTGCTTGGTTTCGAGCAGCGTGGAAACCGGCAGCTTATTCTTGGAATATGTGTTGACCTTGCTTTAGGCACAAGCGAGAGGTGTGAGAGCACGATGGGGAAGAAGCCAACTGCTTTTTCACACGGAAATTGACTGGATGTAACCGAAACCGCGAGAATGGAACCTCATGCAGCCAGGGCCACCTTTGTAGAAAGACGAAGCGCATCAGCAGGCGAAGCAACACTAGCAACGCGATACTCTGCTGACCCAGGCACGCGATTCCCAGCGACGGAAGATTCGCAACTTGCCGGTTCGACGGTAACGATCTTATCAAGGACGGAATTGAACGAAGCAGCATCAATCGGGTCAGCCGCGTCACCAACAGCAGCATCACTACCCGCTGCTGTTACATCAGCAAACGGTCTTCTCCCAACAGCAGCAGTATCAGAATCAGAATCAGCGCGCTCGTCGGCAATACCGAGGGCCGTATTAGACCATTCTCCCGCGCACAGCCTCCCCCAGCCTCACATCGCTCCTCAGGGAAGCAGCACCGCCGTCGCCCCAGCCCCGGCAATTCGTCGCCCGGGATACTTCGCTACAAGATCCGAACTCGGTATAAGCTCAGACCTTGGTATAATCTCGGAATCAGGCCCAAACGGTTACAGTACACTCTCGGAATCAGACCCAGGCGGCCCAAATCCAACCACCAGCACGCAGGCAGCGGCGAATGGAAAACAAAACCCATTCGGTACAGTCACATCCGCAGGCGCCGCTGCAGCCGTGGCTGCGTTACAAGCACGCAAGCACTGGGTGAGCAGGCTACAGGAAGGGTTACCGCAGGCGGCGGTGGTGGTGCTGCGGGTGCTGGTGGTGGTGGCGGCTGCTTGGAGCGCGTGTGCTGTAATGTTCTTTTCCCTCGTTATAATGCCCTGGGTCATGCTCCACCTCTCCACCTCCTCCCACCCGCACTTCCGCGCCCTTCGCTTCAATCACACCCCCGTTGAGGCACTTCCTGCTGCTGGGGGGGAGAAGGGACAAGGAAGCGGAGGAGGAGGAGGGAAAGTAGGAGGAATTGTGGGGGGAAATGGGTGGGGAGTGAGAAAGGGGGAGGTGTGGAGGCCGAGGAGGGGGGAGGGAGTGTGTGAGCTGGGGAGGGGGGACTGGCAAGTGGAGAGGGAGGGGTATCCGCTGTACGCAGCAGAAGACTGTCCCTTCATTAGTGGCACATTCAACTGCCTGGTGAGGAGGGAGGGTGAGTGAGCTTTGAGCAAAAGAAAAAGGGTGTATCGAATCCGTTTTATGCAGCAGAAGAGTGTCTGTTCCTCACATCATATGGCGCGAGAACGACTACACCCTCCCATCCAATCATTCTCCTTGCCCTTCTCCTCACTCTCATACAAACACTAACCCTACCCCCCATCCCAATATTTCAGGAGAACGGCCGCACAGACTTTGACTATCTCCACTTCGCATGGCGCGAGAGTGACTGCCCACACCCATTCACTCGCTTTCGCGCTGATCGCTTTTTCGAGGCTTTCCAGAACCGTCGGATCGTCTTCGTGGGCGACTCCACCCTGCTCTCGGTAAGTCCCAAATAACTTTTGAAGCGCCTAAAAAAGGAAATCTTGGGGGGACTCGACATTTCTCTCAGTTTGTTCCATTGCATTCATCTGTCTTCCTTCCTCCTCTCTTTCCCCCCCTTCCCCCTCTCCTCCCCCCCCACTTTCCCCCACCTTTCCCACCCTCTTTTTTTCTCTCTATCCATCAAGTCTGCAATGGTTCCAGCTCCCTCCTTTGACCTCTGCCTTTGCTCATTCCTAACCACCATAACGACTCCTCCCTTCCCCCCTCCTCCTGCCGCGTATCCTCCATCTCTCCCCACTCCTATTACATTCCCTCAGTCCCTTACGTGCAGATGTTCCAGTCGCTGCTCTCTGCCCGCCCGCCGTAGGTCCCTCCCTCCCACCCATTCACATCATATTCTCAATTCTTCCTTTCTCCCTCTCGCTCCTCAGATTATACCCCCTCTTCTCACCTCTCTTCTTCCCCTCACTGCCCTGCAGATGTTCCAGTCGCTGCTCTGCCTTCTCTCAGTGGGTCCCTCCCTCCCACCCAATCACAGCATGCCAACAGAGCGACTCAACCGCACCTTTCCCTCCCTCCTCCACCCCCCTTCCTCGTCTCCCTCCCTTCTATCCTCATCCTCCTCCTCTTCTTCCCCCTCCTCAGCTGCTTCCCCTACAGCCTCCAAACCCCCCTCCCCCGCTCCTCTCATCTTCCAGTACACTTTCCCCCTCACCAACACAAGCCTTGACTTTCTCCACTCTGACTTTCTAACCGTCCTGGAATCCGCCCCTTCACATGCTCCTGGGCAATCAGATACACCTTCCCCAGACACGCCTCCTGCTAGTATGGCTGTTCCAGATACGCCTAATCCTTTATTGACCAAGAATATGCCTGAGGGCACCAATAACAGCAGTATTACTGCCACCAATATCGTTGCTAGCTTTGGTAGCAGTAGCAACGCAGGCATTGGCAGAAGTCTTCTCACAGATACTTCTGAAACCACCCAGGAGCCAGGTTCGGATGGGTTGAATGCGGTGGAGCTGGGTTCGGACAGGTCAGGTGCGGCAAAGCCAAGTTCGGAGGGGTTGGGAGCGGTGAGAGTGGTGCGGCTGGATGCGTGGGCGGCATATGTGGTGGCAGCACAGCCGCATGTGCTGGTGATTCACACGGGAGGCGCGTGGGTGGGGTTGCAGCAGCGATGGCAGGAGCATAGGGCGCGAATACATGCTTCTCAGGAGGGGCAGAAGGGGCAGGAGGGGCAGGAGGAGGGGCAGAAGGGGCAGAAGGGGCAGGAGGGGCAGGAGGGGCAGGAGGGGCAGAGTGCAGCGAATGAATCAAAGGTTTTTGCTGCTGTGGCTGGTAAAGGAGTTGAGGGAGGGATGCGTGAGGAGAAAGTGGGAGCAGAAGGCAAGGTGGAGGTTGGTGGGGGAAAGGGGAAGGCTGGAGGGGGAAAGGGGGAGCCTGGTGGGGGAAAAGGGGAGGTTGGTGGGGGAAATTGGAAGGCTGGAGGGGGAAAGGGGGAGCCTGGTGGGGGAAAAGGGGAGGTTGGTGGGGGAAAGGGGAAGGCTGGAGGGGGAAATGGGGAGCCTGGTGGGGGAAAAGGGGAGGTTGGTGGGGGAAAGGGGAAGGCTGGTGGGGGAAAAGGGGAGGCTGGTGGGGGAACTGGGGGGAATGGCGGGGGGAATAAGGGGACGGGTGAAAAGGCGAAGGGAAAGGGTGGGGGGAAGAAGGGGAATGGTGGGGAGAAGAGGGGGAATGGTGGGGAGAAGAAGGGGAGTGGCGGGGAGAAGAAGGGGAGTGGAGGGGAGAATAGAGGGAATGGTGGGGAGAATAGGGGGAATGGTGGGGAGAATAGGGGGAATGGTGGGGAGAATAAGGGGAATGGTGGGGGGAATAGGGGGAATGGCGGGGAGAATAGGGGGAATGGTGGAGAGAATAAGGGGAATGGTGGGGAGAAGAAGGGGAATGGTGGAGGGAAGAAGGGGAATGGTGGAGGGAAGAAGGGGAATGGTGGAGGGAAGAAGGGAAACAGTGGGGGAAATGGAGTCGATGGTTGGAAAAACAAAGGTAGCGGTGGTGGTAATCAGGGAAATGGCGGGGGCAATCAGGGCAACGGTGGGGGGAGCAAGGAGGCCGGTCAGGGAAATGACGGGGGGAATGGGGGCAAGGGTGGGGGGAGCAAGGAGGTCGGTCAGGGAAACCAAGGGAATGGTGCGGGAAGAAAGGGGAACAGTGTGGGGGATAACAAAATCAGTGCGGGAAACAAAGGGAATGGTGGGATGGCATTGGGAGACAATAGTAAAGCTGGGCAAAAAGGAGGAGGGACAGGAAAGCAGGCAGGCAGTGAGATGAAGAAAGCGGGAGGAAAAGGGGAGAGCAGTGGTGATAAGGCGAAGGAGAAACGCAAGGCTGTGGCAGAGGTGCAAAAAACGGGTGGACGAGGGGGAGGAGGAGGGAAGGTTGAGAGATTGAGGAAGGCTGGAGGTCAAAAAGGAATCAAGGAAGGTGAGAGAAGACGATGGGAAAAGCAGGAGCCTGGGTCTGGGGGACAAGGTAAGCAAGGCAAGGGGCAAAAAAAGCAAGGCAAGGGGCAAGGGAAGCAAGGAGAGGGGAAACGGCAGAAGGTTTGGGAAAAAGTGGAGGAGGGGGTGATGAAGCAGGGTGGTGATAATGGTGGCCAGACAGCCAGTGGAGGAGGAGGAGGGGACACCACCAGTGGTTCTCAGACTGATCCGTTTGCAGGAGGGGAGTTGCGAATGGGCGACTTTGGTGATGATGATGCCATTCTGCAGAGTGACAGTATTGAGAGTGACAGTAGCAGCAGCGGCAGCAGCATTTCAAACAGCAGCAACAGTTTCACTACCAGCAGTCCCGGTAGCACTACCAGCAACGTCCAGAGCAGCAATAATATGATTCTTAGTAACCTCAGCATCAACCCCTCTAACATCGGCAGTGGGGGTGTTAGGGACAGCCACAAGGAGGGGAGGAAGGGGGGGGAGAGGAGTAAGAGGGGGAGGGGGAGGATTGGCAAGTGGCTGTGGCGGCACCGGCACCTGCTGAGCTTCCCAGAAAGCACAGAGAGTGTCCATAGGGAAGACGATGAAAGTGGTTCTTTTCATTCCCACATGCCTCTGATTCTGACTCCCATGCCACATGTTGACTCACCTGCGAGTGCAGGCAACATGTCGATACTTGATGGAATGGACGGTGCGGATGAAGCGGGGCTCCTTGGTAGCACGGACGGATCAGATGCAGCGGAGGGGGGTTCAGGTGAGGCAGTGGGTGGATCGAAATTGGAGGAAGGTGATGTGAGATTAGAGGAGGGGGAGCAGCAGACAGGCGGAAGCTTTATGGCGGATGAAGCTGACATAGTCCTAGAGGAAATGTCCGAAGTGAGCTCTTCAGTCGGTCGGGGCAGCTTTCTTGATGAGGATAGGGCGGTGGAAAATGATGAAGTGCCGGAGCAGCAGCAGCAGGGCGGTAGTGTCATGGCGGACGAAGCTGACCAAGTCCAAGAGGAGATGTCTGAAGGTAGACTCTCAGAAGGAGAAGTGATGCCTTCAGTCAAGCAAGTTACGTTTGATGAGGAGGGTGAAGCGGCGAAAGAGGATGCAGTGCAGGAGAAGGATAACGAATCTCACATTGTTACAGGTGCAGAGAATGATGAGGAAGTTCGTGGGGAGGATGTGCATAACGAGGCTGCTAATAAGGGGGATGAGTCACCTGGAGGGCCTAGTGTGCTCCCACCTAACCTGCTTGACTCGGTTGACTTTCTTGACCCGGTAGCAGCTTTCACCAAGACCCTCCGCATGCTGCATCACTTCCTCTCCTCTCAACCCACCGCCGAATCCCTCCCAACTTTCTTCCTCGGGCTGCCCCGAGAACATTATTTCCGGGCAGACGAGGACAACAGCAGCTCGCTCTGCCTGCCCGACGACGCCACGTGTCGAAAATACGGGCAGTGTAGCGGGAATTTGAGGCCGAGAGAGTGGTTGGAGGAGGGAGGGGAGGAGCAGGCGCATCAGCAGCGGTGGCAGCGGTGGCGGTGGCGGCAGGAGAGGGAGAGGAGGGAGAGGGAAAAGGGGTGGGTGCAATCAAGTGTGGGCCAGATGGAAAGGGTGGTTGAGAGGGAGATGGGGAGGGGGGACAGGGTTGTGCTGTTGCAGGCAGGGGGGTTAACTGATGCTCGATTTGATGCTCATGTGAGCTCGTCCTTTCCTGCTGAAATGCGTGTGGGGGAGACAGGAAGGGAGGATTGCAGTCACTTTTGTGTGCCTGGAGTGCCGGACACATGGAATGAGATGTTAGTTGCTGCGCTAAGGTTACAGGAAATGATGACATAACAGAGAATGTACTATACGAGTGGTGGCATTATAGCATGTACTATGCGTTGCAACGAATTTGTTTATATGGTGAAGCAATATTGGCTTGATCGGTTATCGCATTTAACCGTTTGATTAAAAAGGCCTAGCATGAAGAGGAGTATAGCATAAGGGTGTACCTCGCACAAGGAAGCTTTGTATTTACATTGAAGGGTTGGTGGAATACTTGCTAGAATTAGATGTGCAAAGTCTTTAACCGAAGCTTTCAATAGCGATTTTCCTACTGGTGACACTCTCCAGGAATCTTTCCCGCCAAAACCGCCATGGCTGTCCGCGATATTGCGCTATGGCGTGCCGCTTTTATCCGCAGGGCCTTTCCCGTCTTTCGACGCGGCCGCCATCGCGACGCCTGCTTCTCGCGTTGCGCTAGTTCCTTAGCTTCGATATAAGGTATCGACGTAGCGCTTGTTGCGATCGTGTTTTGTCTGTGCTGTAAGGAATCTTACCGCTCGTTACAATCACAAGCCCGTATCCCCGTTGCCGACCGGAACAAGCTTCCGCATTTATCGCATTGCGCTAAGCGACCAATTACCTCTCCGTTTGGAACGTCTTGTGCAATATGTAACCGCGTGGTCAAGTGGTTACCCGGTAGTTACCACTTCCAGCCTGTCGTTTCGCCGTCGTCGCTGCAATACGGTCGTTCGTACGAACAATTAGTAGCTTCCGGAGAACCTTTACGGCCGAATATTAGCCTTCCTGAGAGTCCTCAGATGTTATAGATACCGACTTGATGCCTGCGTTTCTCAGTGCAACTTAGTTTCGCGGTTCGTTTTCGCGCCGACAAAAGCAGCCGAGCCCTGCGGTTAGGATCGTTCATCGTTTCGTTGAAACGCGAAACTGCGTCCGTGACTCCTGAGGCGTCTGAATTCTCGAGTTTCCTAGTCTCAAGCACTTATTCCGAAACTCCGAGCCTCGTGGTCTCCGAGCCTCCAAAGTCTCCAAGCCTCTTAGTCTCTCCAAGCCTCCGGTTCTGAGGCTCGGCTCCATATGGGTCGGTCGAGGGGAGCCGGGGAGGAGGACCACGCGCCTAGTGGGGGTTCCAGGTGAGAGGGTACTGTGTGCGCTGATGCTAGTAACGGGTGAGCTACAAGGGAAGACGCAGGGAGGAGGACTGCGCTTCTGGTACTGCACTTGATTTGATACTAACGGGTGTGCTACTAGGGAATAAGCAGGGAGGAGGACCATGCCACTAGTGAGGGTCCAGCCAGGTTGGTAAGTGGTGCTTCGTAAGCTGTATTGCATGTTGCTGGTGCTAGTAACGGGTGAGCTAATACGGAATACGGAGGGAGGAGGATCATCTTCGTCCTAATGGAGGATATATCATATACGTGAGGGGGGTACTGTGTTGTATGCCATGTTGCTGGTGCAGGAAACGGGGGAAGCAGCAGGGAAAGCTCAGGTTTCCCCTTCCTCTTTTCCTCCCTTTCCTTCCCATTCTCGCTTCCCCCTCCCCCTCCCCCTCCCCTTCCCCTTCCCCCAGACCCAACCGCTGCCGCTATGCCACCACAAGTTGGCAAGACGCCGTGGGGGGGTAGCAGCGGGGAAATTTTCCCCCTCTCATTGCCCCTTTCCTCCCAAATCCCCCTCCCCCCCCCCCCCCCCCCCTTCCCCCCATGCCCGTCCCCTTCCCCCAGACCCAAGCGCCGCCGCTATGCCACCACAAGCTGGCAGGACGCCGTGGGGGGAGGTAGCAGCGGGGGGGGAGGCGCAGGAGCGGGGGCGGAAGGCGCAGGCGCAGCAGCAGGGGGCGGGGGGGGATCGGGGGGAGAGGGGGGAGCAGGGGGAACAGGGGGGGGCGCGCGGAAGGGCGTGTATCACTGCAACTACTGCCACAGGGATGTGACGGGGGAGGTGCGAGTGAAGTGTGCGGCGTGTGTGGACTTTGACCTCTGCGCTGAATGCTTCTCCGTGGGCGCCGCTGCTCACCCGCACTCCGCCTCGCATCCCTATCATGTCATGGTGAGTGGGAGGTGGGTGGGGAAGGGGGCTGGGGGCATTTGCAGGGGGAGGGGGAGGGGGGAAAGGAGGAGGGAGGAAGGGGGTGAAGTGTGCGGCGTGTGTGGACTTTGACCTCTGCGCTGAATGCTTCTCCGTGGGCGCCGCTGCCCACCCGCACTCCGCCTCGCACCCCTATCATGTCATGGTGAGTGGGGAGAAGGGACGGGGGGGGAGGGGGAGGAGGAGGGTGATGGAAAGGGAGGGGGAAAAGAAAAGGCGCTGCTGCTTACCCCCACTCTGCCTCCCACCCCTTACCACATCATCGTGAGCGGGGAGGGGAGGGGGGGAAGGGGGAGAAGGAGTGCGAGGGAGAGGGGTCAGGGGAGGGGGAGGGGGAGGGGGAGGGGGAGGGGGAGGGGGGGGGAGGGGGATGGGGAGGGGGGGGAGGAGGGGAGGGAGAAGGGGGGGTGGGAAGTTGAAGCGAGCGTGGTAAGGGGCACGGGATTCACAAGAGAGGGAGGAGAGGGTTTAGGGAGGGGATGGAGAAAGGGGGAATGGGAGGGGGAAGGAGGAAAGGTGGGCAGACGGGAAGAGAAAAGGTGGGCAGACGGGGAGTGGGAAGGTGGTTAGACTGGGAGTGGGAAGGTGGGCAGACAGGGAGTGGGAAGGTGGGCAGACTGAGAGTTAAAAGGTGGGCAGAGTGGGAGTGGGAATGTGGGCAGATGGGAAATGGGAAGGTTGGCGGTGGAGAGTGGGAAGGTGGACAGACTGGAAATGGGAAGGTGGGCAAACGTGGAGTGTGAAGGTGGGCAGACGGGGAGTGGGAAGGTGGGCAGACGGAGAGTGTCCACCTTCCCACTCCCAGTCTGTCCATCTTCCCACTCCCAGTCTGTCCATCTTCCCACTCCCAGTCTGTCCATCTTCCCACTCCCAGTCTGTCCATCTTCCCACTCCCAGTCTGTCCATCTTCCCACTCCCAGTCTGTTCATCTTCCCACTCCCAGTCTGTCCATCTTCCCACTCCCAGTCTGTCCATCTTCCCACTCCCAGTCTGTTCATCTTCCCACTCCCAGTCTGTCCATCTTCCCACTCCCAGTCTGTCCATCTTCCCACTCCCAGTCTGTCCATCTTCCCACTCCCAGTCTGTCCATCTTCCCACTCCCAGTCTGTTCATCTTCCCATTCCCAGTCTGTCCATCTTCCCACTCCCAGTCTGCCCACCTTCCCAATTCCCCTCACTTTGTACAACACTCTCTTTCTTATATAGTTGGTCCATCAGGCTCGTGTTTTCATCGTTTCATGTTCTCCTGCTCCCGACCAATTTGACATGCGTTAACTTTGCATGAACGCATTCTGACTGTGCGCCACCAACCGCACCAGGACACCATGAGCTTCCCTCTCGTGCATGAGGACTGGACTGCTGACGAGGAGATGCTGCTGCTCGAGGTGAGCCACGCTGCCTTGTTTACCGTTAAGGTTCGTTGTAGAATGGCAATTGGGAAAAGGTGGCAGAGCATGTTCGTGAATGTTTTTTGAGGTTCTAAGAGCACCTCTTGTTGTGCGGGTCAGCCAACCCCCCTACCTCTCTTCCCTGCCTCCCTATTTCTCTCCCCGCCCTTACCTCCTCTCTCCCCCCTTTCACACCAACCCACAGGCTCTGGAGATGTACAGAATGGGCAACTGGGGGGAGATTGCAGAGCACGTGGTAATGATATTTCTTCTTACCCGCTCTCCCATCTTCTTCTCCACTCCATATCCTTCCCCCTCATACCGAATTACCACCCACCCCACACCAACCCACAGGCCCTCGAGATGCACGGAATGGGCAATGGGGGGGAGGTTGCGTAGCACATGGGTTGAGGATAACTCTCCGGTCTTTCTCCCTTCCCCCCTTCTTCTCCTCCCTCTCATGTGCCTCTCTCCGTGCCTCCTCAGGCTCTGGAGATGTACAGAATGGGCAACTGGGGGGAGATTGCGGAGCACGTGGTGATGATATTTCTTCTTACCCGCTCTCCCATCTTCTTCTCCACTCCATATCTTTCCCCCTCATACCGAATTACCACCCACCCCACACCAACCCACAGGCCCTCGAGATGCACGGAATGGGCAACTGGGGGGAGATTGCGGAGCACGTGGGTTGAGGATAACTCTCCGGTCTTTCTCCCTTCCCCCCTTCTTCTCCTCCCTCTCATGTGCCTCTCTCCGTGCCCCCTCAGGCGCTGGAGATGTACGGAATGGGCAACTGGGGGGAGATTGCGGAGCACGTGGGATAGCCCCCTCACTACCTCCTCGTCCCTCCCTCCTCCGCTCCCCGCCTTCATTTCTTTACGTCCCCTTTCCCCACATGAACTTCAGGCGCTGGAGATGTACGGAATGGGCAACTGGGGGGAGATTGCGGAGCACGTGGGGTCCAAGAGCAAGACACAGTGCCACGACCACTACCTCTATGACTACCTGCTGTCACCAACCGGTCCCTTGCCTGTGAGTAGTAGAACCGTGTAGCCTTGTGTGCATGTGCGTATGTGTGGTAGTGTGGGCATGTGAAGAGCAAGGCGCAGTGCCACGACCACTACCTCTATGTTTACCTGCTCACACCACAGCCCCTGCCTGTGAGTTGACTCTGTAACCATATATCCTTGTGGGCATGTGGGCATGTGGGAAATGCTTACTGCTACATTCACTAACTCTACGACTGCCTGCTGTTGCCCTGTGACCCTCTGCCAGCAGTCCCACTTCTTTCCGTAATCCCAGTTTCTCCCTCCCTTGTCCCTTCCTCGTCCCTCCTTTGTCTGGTCCCTCCTGTTTCCCTCCTCCTCTTGCTAGGATCTATCTCGCCTGCGCACGGAAGCAGACACGGAAGCAGCCAAGGCAGCAAAGGAGGAGCAGGAGGCAGCAGAGGCGGTTGGCTTGACTTCAACCCTCATCCCCTCGTGTGTTCCTCCTATGTCTCTCCCTTCACTTCTAGGAACTATCTCGCCTGCGAACCCAAGCGGACACGGAAGCAGCCAAGGCAGCAATGGAGGAGCAGGAGGCAGCAGAGGCTGTTGGCTCGACTTTATCCCTCATTTTCTTCCTGTCTCCCTCCCGTGTCCCTCGGCTGTCCCTCCCCGGTCCGGTCCCTATTCTGTGCCGTCCTCTGTCCCTGCCTCTTTCTAGGATCTATCTCGCCTGCGCACACAAGCGGACACGGAAGCAGCCAAGGCAGCAATGGAGGAGCAGGAGGCGGTAGAGACTGCAGCGAGGGCACAGGAGGCAGTTCTGTTCAATGTTCCTGTGGTCAAGTGAGTGCCTTTCCAGCCAAGTGCATGTTGTTAAGCCTTTCCGGGACGTCTGAATGAAAACCAGGCACAAAGAGGCTACCTCGTGCTTGCCTTTCTCGCTGCTGGTTATCAACCCCAGGCCAGAGCCCCGTACCAAAATGGACACCGGTCGGTGCTGCTGCTGCCAATAACGCCAATTACGAGCGCGTACAACAACGCAAAGCGAAGCTCAACGAGTTTGACCGGGAATACGACGAGGCAGAGGCACCGCACTCCACAGACCAGAGTCCAGCAGCTCCGAGGCAGACACGGAGTCCAGCAGCCGCAAGGCATTAGAGTCCAGCAGCCGCAAGGCATTAGAGTCCAGCAGCCGCAAGGCATTAGAGTCCAGCAGCCGCAAGGCACCAGAGTCCAGCAGCCGCAAGGCACCAGAGTCCAGCAGCCGCAAGGCACCAGAGTCCAGCAGCCGCAAGGCACCAGAGTCCAGCAGCCGCAAGGCACCAGAGTCCAGCAGCCGCAAGGCACCAGAGTCCAGCAGCCGCGATTAGGACCAGAGACCAGAGTCCAACACCCTTCTTAATTTAGGACTCTGGTCTCGCTCTCTCAAACATTTGACTTGATTTACTAGCTCTCTCTCTTTCTTTCCTTCCTGTCGCACCTCAACCCTTCCTCACCCTTCCCCACCCAACCCAACACAGTCCAGAGCCCGGGAGCAAGGCAGACGATGCTACGGCACTGAGAACGAGTGGGTACAACTCAAAGCGCAACGAGTTTGACCCCGAGTATGACAACGAGGCTGAGGCCCCACTGTATGCCTCTTCCCCCCTTCCTCACACTCCCTTCCTCCCCTCCCCCCCTCCTCTCCTCCCCCCTCCACCACAGACCTGAACCTGGCACCAAGGCAGACGACGCAGCAGCACCAATCACGAGCGGGTACAGCACGAAGCGCAACGAGTTTGACCCCGAGTATGACAACGAGGCCGAGGCACCTCTCTCTGCATAGACTCCTATCCAGCAACGCGCCTCAACCCCCACCCCTCACCCGCCACCACAGGCCAGAGTCAGGAAGCAAGGCGGACGAAGCAGCAGCGCCGATAACGAGTGGGTACAACACGAAGCGCAACGAGTTTGATCCGGAATACGACAACGAGGCAGAGGCACCGCTGGCAGAACTGGAGTTCAAGGAGTCAGACTCGAGCGTGGATAGACAACTGAAGATCAAGATGCTTCACATCTACTACTCACGGTGCGTTTGGTTCGTGTTGCGGTTTGGTTTGATGTTACAGCGTGCAACAGTGGGGACAGACAACTGAAGATCAAGATGCTGCACATCTACTACCCCAGGTGCGTGGGGCTGTATTGATCTTTATAGTCGACTTAAAGGCAGAGGCAAGGGTACGCTGGTTGGCAGAGCTGGAGTTTAAGGAGTGTGGATAGACAGTTGAAAATCAAGATGCTGCACATCTACTACTCACGGTGTGTGTACTTCCCTCTACTAATAAGATTTTAGTGGATGTGGTTGTACTATTTATTAATCGACTAAAAGGGGCGGTAGAGGCACTGTTGGCGGAGCTGGGGTTGAAGGAGTCGGACTCGAGCGTCGACAGACAGGTGATCAAGATGCTGCACATCTACTACCCCAGGTGTGTGGGGTTCGGTTGATTAATGCATATTGAGCGTGACAAAGATTTTCCCTTGCACGGACTACCCCCACTCCGCCTCCCGCTCTCCCCCTCTCCTCCCCTCCTCCCTTCTGTTCTACAGGCTGGAAGAGCGGTCCTGGCGCAAGGCCTTCATCCGTTTTTGAGTCGGCTCAAAACCAGAACCTTCCCCTCTCCCCTCTCCCCCAACCCTCTCCTCTTCAGGCTGGAAGAGCGGTCTCGGCGCAAGGCCTTCACCTTGGAACGTGGCCTGCTAGACCCGATGTAACGGCCATTCCTTCCTTCCCACCCTTTCGCTTTTCCCCTCTCTCCCCACCCTCTCCCTTTCAGGCTGGAAGAGCGGTCCCGGCGCAAGGCGTTCATCCTGGAACGTGGCCTGCTAGACCCGAGACGAGAAGAATGGACGGAGCAAGGTGTAATGCAAGGCTGGGAAACCACCTTTACTGACATAGCATCATCTCTCCCCATTCTCCCTCCCTGCGCCAGGCTGGAAGAGCGGTCACGGCGCAAGGCCTTCATCTTGGAGCGTGGTCTGCTGGACCCGAGAAGAGTTGTCACTCACGCACCATCATTCCACTACATTTCCTTCTCGCTCCTCCCGTCTCCCCTCTCCCCCCACCCCTCTCCCCTTCAGGCTGGAAGAGCGGTCAAGACGCAAGGCCTTCATCCTGGAGCGTGGCCTGCTGGACCCGAGAAGAGTGGACGGAACGATCCGACCCGAATCCACCACCGGCAGCAGGGGGAGAGTCAGGGACCGGGACAGGACAGATGAACAACACAAGAGAGAGGATGGTGTGGAACAGGGAGGGGAACGGGAAGGGGGGACTCTGGGGGAGGTGGGTGCAGAGGCGGGAGAGGGTGGGGTGGAGAAGGGGGAAGGGGGAGGGAAGCACGGAGGGAAGCGAGGAAGCGGTGGGGAGAGGAGAAGGTCGAAGGAGGAGAGGGAGATGTTTCTGCGGTGCCGCGTGTTTGCGAGGTTTCTCAGTGCAGAGGAGCACTAGGGGCTGGTGCAGAGCTTGACACAGGCGCAGAGGCTGCGAGACAGAGTGGCCGTTCTCCAGGTGAGGCTTGTGGTTCGTCTGAAGTAGCACCTAGTAGTAGTGCTGATTTTGAGTGCGGAGGAGCACGAGGGGCTGGTGCAGAGCTTGACACGGGCTCGGAGACTGAGAGACATAGTGGCCGTGCTGCAGGTGAGGATTCTAGTTTGTCTAAAATAGGACCTAGTAATCCTAACCTGGCGCTCTCAGGAGCATGAGGGGCTGGTGCAGAGCTTGACTCAGGCGCAACGACTCCGAGACAGAGTGGCCGTGCTGCAGGTTAGAGCAGCTTGCTTGTAGATTTTTGAGTGCGGAAGAGCACGAGGGGCTGGTGCAGAGCCTTACCCAGGCGCAGAGGCTGAGAGACAGAGTGGCCGTGCTGCAGGTGAGGGCAGCCCTCTCGTGTGATGGATGGTGGTAGCGGGAATTGTCCACCATTCTGTCTTCTCCTTTCCTTTCATTTCGTTCTTGACAGCAAGCTGAGTGCAGCGGGGTACAAGTCGCCAGCAGAGGGTCGCTGATTCATCCAGGCTCACTACAAGAAGAACCCCGCCCGCACTGCTGCTGCTGCTGCTGCTGCTGCTGCAGCTGCTGCTTCAAATTCACTCTCTTCTCATCCGCTCCCATCACCAACAGGAGCTGAGAGCAGGCAGGTGCAAGTCGCCAGCAGAGGGCTGTCGTTTATGAGTGTTAATGCACCTCTTCCTCACCTCTCCTTTCCTTCATCCCCTCCCATCCCCTCCCATTTCCTCCCATCCCCTCGCATCCCCTCCCATCCCATTCCACCCTCTTCCAGGAGTTGAGAGCAGCGGGGTGCAAGTCACTGGCAGAGGGGCGTCGGTTCATCCAAGCCCATTACAAGGACAACCCCACCGCTGCTGCTGCTGCCATTGCGTGTCTTCCACCCTCCGCAACAGGTGTGTGGAAGCTAGCTAGCACGAACACATGTGTCTCTGTGCTACAAGGACAACCCCGCTGCTGGTGCTGCAGCTGCCCCCATTGCGTGCCTTCCACCCTCCGCCACAGGTGGGGTATGCACCCTCCGCCACGGGTGTGTGAAAACTAGCTAGCACGAACAGATGCATTTCAGTCAGTGCTACAAGGAAAACCCTGTTTCTGCAACCCCGCTGCTGCAACCCCGCTGCTGCAACCCCGCTGATGCTGCTGCTGCCATCATGTGCCTTTCCACCACCTCTTGTTACATTTTTTTTCTCTGTCACCAAGCTCGTGTTTTCTCCCCTCCCTTTCCTTCTTCGCCAGTTGCACTCACAGCAACCAGCACAGCACCATCAGCAAGAGGTCCCTCCTCCCCATCACCTCATGCTCCATCTTCCCTGCTCCAATGCCCCGCTTGTTCTTCAACCCTCTGCCACTTTTCCCACACCCTCTTTGGTCCTTTGGCACTTGCGCCACCGCCATCAGCACAGCATCATCAGGAGGTGCCTCAGCAGCTCTCGACATTTCCTCCCACCCAGGATGCGACCTTCTATCAGCCAAGGTGAGAGGTCCCTGTTATTTCCCTCTCCAATAGTATCTCGTTCTTGTACGATTTCACTGTATTTAAGTGTCAGCCAAGGTGAGATTATAAGGGTGGGGATTTGCCAACCATCTACATGCTTTATACTTAGATGTCATGCCAAGGATCTCCCTTCCGTGCTGCTTTCATACCTCTGTTGTGTTGCTTCTCTGCCTCCAAACTGTCTCTGCTTGTGTCGTCTCTCATTTGCTGACTCCTGATCCCTTCTGTTCAGTTCGTGGCTTTTCTCTAACCTCTTTCCTTCCTCACCACCTCCCTTCTGTCCTCCCATTAACCCATGCATCCCATTGCCGTCGATCCACATGTGGGTGTCTTCTGGATCATGACAAACAACGCAAACGCCAAACCATGCCGTGCGCTCAGGAGCGAGAGCTGTGCACGCACATGCGCCTGTTGCCAGCACACTACCTCCGGGCCAAGCAGGTGAGATTTTTACAGCAGGCGTATGACGAGCCGGCTAAGTAGGCTCAATGATGCACTCTAAAAAAAAAAAAAAAAAAGGTTTAGGGCAGTACAAAGTACAGAGCGTAGACTAGCCTGTTCCTACATGTGGTCTTTCTAAGTAGTTTGTAAAGGGAAGAATGGGTCTATCTCTAACTGTAAGGGTATGATGAGCCTACTGAGTAGGTTCAAGAAAACAGGTGAGCTTGGTGAAGACAGTTTTCGGGGAACACTGAATCCAGGCCTCTAAAGATCCAGGCCACCTGTTTTCAAGAACCCAGGCCTCTAAAGATCTACCTACCGACCTGCCTCCTACATTGCATGCCTCCTGGCGTTTGCCCCACCCCCTCCTTTTGAGACGTCTCAAAGTTTTTTGGAAAACTCGGAATCCGGGCCTCAAAAAAGACCTACCTACCTACCGACGTATACCTCCTGCGATTGCATGCCTCCTGGCGTTTGCCTGCACCGACTCCTCCGCCTGCCCCCTGCCACCACTGACACCATGTGCCATGCCACATTACGCACCGCACAGCAGCAGTGCACAGGCTGTTCCGCCTGCCCCCACCATTTTCCCTGGCCTTTGCCTCACCCTTCCCCTCCCTCCCCTCTCTCCCCTCATTTCCCATCCAATCAGGTCATCTTACTGCAAGCAGCCGTCTCAGGGAGAGCCGTCTCACGCGCAGCAGTGCACCGACTCTTCTTTCTGCCCCCCGCCACCACTCACGTCATGTACCCTTCCTCTTTCCTTCCATCCCCTCCTTCCATGCTGCCCATCTCAACAGGTTATTTTGCAGCAGGCAGCCCTCTCAGGGGGGACCATCTCACGAGCAGCAGTGCACCAACTCTTCCGCCTGCCCTCCGCCACCACTGATGGCATGTTCCTTGCGTTTTCTCCCTACATCCCCCGTTCCCCTCTCCCCCATCTCAACAGGTTATTTTGCAGCAGGCAGCCCTCTCAGGAGGCACCATCTCACGAGCAGCGGTGCATCGACTGTTCCGCCTGCCCCCTGCCACCACCGACGCCATTTTTAGACTCCTGCTGGGGGCTGGCTGGATAGCTGAAGCTGGGGGGAACAGTTCTGGTGGGGGGATGGGAGGGGCGATGGGAGTGGGGATGGTGAAGCAAGAGGGAATGTGAGATCAGGTTGCCCCCCCGCCCACCACGGATGCCATCTTCAGGCTCTTGCTGGGGGCGAACTGGATAGCAGAAGCTGGTGGAAGTGGTACTGGTGGTGGGGGGATGGGAGGGGCGATGGGAGGGGCGATGGGAGGGGGGATGGTGAAGCAGGAGGGGATGTGAGATCTTCCTCCCTCCATCCACCACTGATGTCATCTTCAGACTCTTTGCTGGGGGCTGGCTTGATTGCTGAAGCTGGGGGGAGTGGTACTGGTGTGGAAATATGGGAGGGGCTATGGGAGGGGCGATGGGAGGGGGAATGGGAGGGGGGATGGTGAAGCAAGAAGGGATGTGAGATTATCCCCCCTCCAGGCACCACTGGTGCCATTTTTAGGCTCCTGCTGGGGGCTGGCTGGCCTGATAGCTGAAGCTGGAGGAAATAGTGCCAGTGGGGGAGGGGGAATGGGTGGGGGAATGGCGAAGCATGAGTGAATGTGATGTGAGATCAGGTTGCCTCCAGCCAGCAGTTGTGTCATCATCTGACTTCTGTAGCTGCAGGTGGTGGTGCTGCTGGCGGGGTGGATGGCTGGATGGGTGGGCGGGTGGTGATGTGAGTTTGTGCTGCCTCATGCCAGCACTGTTTTAAACGGTCCCTCGTGGTGGGGGCTAGCTGGATAGCTGCGGCTGGGGCACTAAGTGGCAGTGGGGTGATGGGGGGGGGGGTATGATACTGGAGCAAGTGGAGATTTGAGATCATGCAGCTTCCAGCCAGCCCTCTGGATAGCAACCCGGGAGAGACTGCTTAGGAGGGATGGGGTAGTTGAGGGTGCGTTATAAGACTGCCGGTTTGGGTGGTGGGGTGGTGAAGCAACATCTAATTGCACAAACCACTGTGTAGTCACTTCTACTGGTATCAGCTACTTGTGTTTTTTTGTGTGCAGGTAGAGCCAAAATGTCTTGTTCTGAGGTGTATCACTTGCTAACTAAGTTCCTAGAATGTTACCGTAACTTTTTTTGTGGTTAATCGTAAGGAATTTTCCTGAATTCCTTATCGGGGTTGACTGCTTCGCGTACAACCCGATTTTCGGAGTTCGCACGTTCGGCCGATTTCAACGTTGCCGAGGCTCCTCGCGTCGCCTTCGGCATTTCCATCGCCAAACCTGCACCCAACCTTGCTTGTCCGAGGTTTCCTCCTAGCTAGGCTAGCCCTACATTAGTCTGTGCATTCATTGTATTCGCAGTTCATTCAGTCACAGCCTCGTTATTCGTTCACCTGCGCACTCTCTTTTACAACTCATAACACCTGGTATCAGAGCTACTTTCCTAGTTTACCCCGCTTTTCCGAGGGTAGTTTGGTGGCGCGGGTGTGGTCGGTTTAGTGACTACACGACGGTTGGCTGCAGGGATTGTTAATTCAATCCTGCCCGACTCCGATAGTTCGTGTTTTCACTTGCCGGAAGGCCACGGGTACCCGACTGCCCACCAGACGTAGCGCTAGGCACATGGATCAGGAGGAGATTAACAAAATGATGGCGCAAGTGGCAGAAATGCAGGAAAGCATGAAGACATTGATGGCGGAAGTGACAACACTGCGGGAGGAAAACGCCGAGCTACGCCAGACGCGAGGTGAAGCGCGTCAGGAGTCGCCTGTGGACGAAGGCGAGGGCAACAGTCAAGCGATGAGCAATCCGCTGGATGCGCTCACACGTGACTTCGAAGAAGAAGATAGGCAGCGAGCGGCAGCAGCACCAGTTGCAGTGACGACGATCAAGATAAAGCCCGTCAACCCGCCCCCGTTTAATCCTACGGACAAGACGGTTACGGTAAAAGGGTGGCTGTTCGGGGTCGAAGTCTTTTTCACTGCAGCCGGAGTTAATTACGACGCCACGCGTATTAATTACGCGGTCTCGCTTCTTCGAGGTGCAGCGCTTGAATGGTGGCGCCGAACCTTGGAAACAGGGACGCCGACAGGCGTGACACATGCGGCAGACGGGACCTCTATAGTGGTTAATCAAGTGGCAGAACCGATCTTCGGTGTGACCAAGATACGCACGTGGAAGGAGTGGGGCGCAGCCTTACGAGATCGCTTCGAGCACGTATCCGCCTCGGAGCAAGCTCGCATGAAGCTGTGTGCATGGTCGCAGATGGCTTCTGTCCAAGACTACACGGCGTCATTTATGGGCTTCGCCGACCAAATTGACGACATGTCGGAAGCAGAGCGGTTGGATAAGTACGTCAGCGGCCTTAAATATGAGATACAGTTTGAGGTCCGCAGAAGCCGCCCGACATCGTTCCTCGAAGCAGTACGAGTGGCGGAGTCAACTGATGCGCTGATGCAGTACGCGAGAGCAGCTTCCAGGGATGGGAGAAGCTTTCGTGGCCAGACCCATCGGGCCACGATCAACGCCGTCCATACACCCGACCGCCCTCCTAAGGGTCAGTGTTTTCGGTGTGGGAAGGTGGGTCACTACAGGAAAGACTGCCAGGAGAAAATGCTGCTGACAGGGGACGACAGGAAGGAGCAGGGAAATGGGAAGAGTCAGTAATTAGCGGGCCCTTTACTGACTGTGCTCCGTCGCCCGAACACCATCATCCCCACCGAGTCGTGGTTCCGATTCATGCAATCGATCGCACTCGGCCGAATAACGGGGATACACATGTGGATCACCTTGTGCTGGTCGCTGGCAAATAATTTGAAAATGTTCGTCGACGGGGGGGCCAGCCATAGCCTCTTCAATTTGGCGAGCGCAAAAAGATGCAAGCTGCAACTTGACAGGTGTCTGCCCGAAATCGACGCACGCCTCGTGGATGGGACGCCTCTGGCGATAACGGAAGAAACACGGACGGTCAGGATCGAATGCGGCGACGATTTCGGCTTCAGCATGAAGTTTCTCGCGACAACATTGGACGGCTGCGACGTATTGCTGGGACGCGATTGGCTGCGACGACACAACCCCGTCATCGACTGGACAACGGGATCGTGCAGCATCAGCAAGCACGAGGGGCTAATTCGGCTGCCTGCATGGACACCTGACTACATACAAGCCCCGTGCGTCAAAGCCATCATGATAGCTCGCCACTTCAACAAGGGCGCGCAGCTGTTCGCTGTCTGCTTACGCGAGTTGGCAGTCGACACCGACGGAAAGGACATTGAGAAGCTGTGTGCAGCTGTACCTCCGGATTTAGCGAAGCTGATTCGACAGTACCCCGACATTTTCCCGGACGACCTGCCACCTGGGCTGCCACCCGAGAGACCCGAAGACCATAAAATCCAGCTGGAGCCTGGCGCGCAACCAACTGTTCGGACACAGTGGCGGTTGACCCAGCCGGAACTCGAGGAGCTGCGCCGACAAATTGACGCACTGTTGGAGAAAGGGTTCATTCGGGCGAGCACCTCCCCGTTCGCGGCACCGATCATGTTCACTCCGAAGAAGGACGGCGGGCTTCGCATGTGCATCGATTATCGCGCGTTGAACCGGGTGACCATCAAGTCTCGCTACCCAATCCCACGCACCGACGACCTTCTTGACCAGCTTCGCGGCGCTCGCTACTTCTCGAAAATTTACGTGGCGGTTACCACCAGATTCGGGTCTTCGCCGACGATTGTCACAAGACCGCATTTCGCACACGCTACGGGAGTTACGAATTCACGGTGATGCCTTTCGGCCTCACGAACGCGCCTTCAACTTTTCAACTGACCATGAACAGGGATTTTCGGGATCTTCTAGACCGTTGCGTCATCGTCTATTTGGACGATATCCTCATTTTTAGCAAGACAAGAGAGCAGCACCTCCGTGACCTAGATGCAGTGTTTAAGCGGCTGCAGGAGAACCGACTCATCACCAAGGGCTCTAAGTGCGAGTTTTTTAAGCAGGAGTTGGAGTTTTTGGGGCACGTCATCTCGCGCGACGGCATTAAAATCGACCCGGCGAAAATCAAGACCATACAGGAGTGGAAGTCCCGACGAAAGTCACGGAACTCCAGAGTTTTCTCGGATTCGTGAATTACGTCAGGCGGTTTATCCCGAATATGGCGGGGATAACCGGCCCGCTGACCGACCTGCTGCACAAGGACAGGAATTTTGTGTGCGGGGAGGAGGCAGAAGCGGCTTTCCAGGAACTCAAGAATTTTCTGGTTTCCCCTCCTGTGCTGCGCATCGCCGACCCATCGAAGCCGTTCGAAGTCGTCACTGACGCCTCAGATTTCGCCATCGGAGCTGTGCTACTCCAAGATTTCGGGAACGGATTGCAGCCGATAGCTTACGAATCACGCAAGCTGCAGGCGGCTGAACGCAACTACCCGATCCACGACAAGGAAATGCTCGCCATCATACACGCGTTTAAATTATGGCGATGCTACCTGGTGGGCGCCGACGTCACTGTTCGCACAGACCACAAGTCCCTACAGTACCTACGAGCCCAACCCAACCTCAACCCACGACAGATTCGGTGGCTGGACTACATGGAGAGCCACTTCACCTACCGCATCACGTACAAAAAGGGGGCGAATAACATCGCCGACGCCCTGACCCGACCGACAGTACAATCCGCTGCAGTACTCATCACCCACTCGAACCCGTTACTTACCGGACTATTTACCCACGGCTACACTACGGACCCATTCTTCACGACGGGAAATCATCAGCAGGCTACGACGCAGAAAGGGGACTATTACCTAAAGGCCGGAACCGACCGGATTTGGGTCCCCGCTTACAGGCTGCTGCGTGAACTCCTTATCCAAGAAGTCCACGATTCGAACTTCTCCGGACACTTCGGGGTTGATAAAACCCAGAAAGTACTGCACCGTCAATACTATTGGCCTGATTCCTCTAACGACGTGCAGCGCTATGTGTCCTCATGCAGGGTGTGCCAAGCAATGAAATCGACACGTCAGCGAACAGCTGGGCTGCTGCAACCCCTCGAGCCACCCGAACGACCGTGGCAGCAAGTGACGATGGATTTCGTCACGGGGATGCCAGCTGGGCCGTCCGGCAACGACGCAGTTCTCGTCGTCGTCGATCGCTTCACGAAAATGGCGCACTTCGCACCATGCCGAACGACAATCACAGCCGAAGAAACTGCGCGCCTCTTCATCTCAACGGTCGTGCGACTGCACGGCATCCCTTCGGCGATCATCAGCGACCGAGACCCGAAATTCACATCAAAATTCTGGAAGGAGATGTG